CGACCAGCATTCAGTGGGCAAATCCTCGACTTTGGAAGTAACCTTTCCTGGAGGTGAAAACGGGCAAGTACCCGCAGCTCACGGGGACACTCAAGGGCAACGTAACTTTCCGCAGTGTGAGGGCAACGGTTTGTAGGTACTTATGCAAACCTATCCCTGTCTCTGAGCACGGACGGTATGGTTATCTTGAGTGTGGGGGGTTCTTCCCGGAACCTCAATTGAGTCAAGGGTGTCGCCACCTCTGGTGGATAGGTTCATCCGGGTGGGTCCCACTTCTATACCTGCCTCCTTTTGGGAAACCCTGATGGCCTGGCAGTGATGTTGGGTCTGACGGGCAAACGAAGTAGATCGGGTGCTGGGTCCGAGCCCGCCAGGGGTATCTGGGGATCTATCGCTCTGGATATCTCTGGTTCCCAGCAATGGGTCAGGCCTCGATCGGGCAGCGGTGTAAATGGGAGGTTGGGGTTCCCCCCGTCAGCGTGCTGATGGTCCCCTTCCTCCTGGCTATTGATGGCGGGTTCTACCTGTCAGGGATGAGATAGGTCCCGAGTGTTGCTTGCACTAAATGCGTCGGGGCGCTCTACTATGGACCTCTAGGTTCCGACCTAGTGGAACCCAGGTGGAGTGACGCTTAAACAAGCAGCCGGAATCCCTGGTTAGGATTGAGGGGCAACCCTCTTTCCGAAGGGTCTGCTTCGGCAGCCGGCGAGCCTGATGACCTTAAGTCATCCGCCCATGATGTGCTAAAGGTTGATGCGTAAGCTTCGGCCTACATCATGGGGCCCGGGTATGTCCTGTAGGATAGGTACCGGGTAAGCAGTCAGGGGGCTTCGGCTCTCATGACAACAAATCTAATCTAATCTAATCTAATCTAATCTAATCTAATGCTTATGAAGGCCAAACATTCACTAAACAATAAACATACTCCTCATAGTCTAGGAGCTTTAGCCCCCACAATCACACGAGTCATTCAAAGCCTTGCCCTGCTTGGATTTGCAGAGGTCAACCCTATCAACATCGGTGCGGAATTAGAAAATGAGGGAGCTGTTACCTCTAGTGCTATTGTTGGATTTTAAATATTAAGACCTCGTTTCTGCCAATGAGCATATCCATGTGCTTATGAGATACTAGACAAAAGAATTCATTCTCGTCAGCTGGCAGGCATTTTCCAATGGTGGATTCTGCAAGAATTATGTCATACCAGCTGATCATTATTTTATTATGATTATACAGTTTATTTTTCTGTTAACATGATCAATAAAATTAGTTAAGCTAATCAAATCTATTCTCTTAGCGAATTTCCCTATAGGGAAGTAGTTATTACCGTAGGTGGCACGGTAAGACCTAGACCCGGGACCGATTTACTTTTTCATTTTGATGTCCCCAGAGGCCAAAAACACCATTCGTTCAAATTTTTATATATGTATATATATATATATAGATATATATATATATAGACTTATATATATATATACGTCCGTGAACGCGATAACTTGAGTAATTTTTGTCCGATTTTGATGAAATTTAGTTTAAAGGTGTAAAGCGGGATAAACTTAAATGAGTTCGCGAACCAGCACGATCGGACCATGGGAACGGGGCTTTACGGGGGGTTTTATGGGGTAAAAATTGGTTTTTCTCACTTTTGACCCTCAAAACACAAAATTTCCCGATTTCTCTTTAGACCTTTTAAGAGAGCTTAAAAAAACAAATAATTTAGTATGTAAAAGTATTTTTGTTCGATTGTTAGTAACGGAGAAAATTAAAAAAAATTGTAAATTTAAAATTCCCATGTTATTCCTTATGGAGAATATTGTCAGATGTTGTAGTTTGTTTGTTTATGGATATATTTTGATCAAACTTGGCAAATTTATTTATTTTGTACTAAGCTATCAATATTTTACTAAAAAACACACTTTATTAGTTTCCTTGTAGCAGCAAACCTAGGTACTCGTTAAATCTAATGTTATTAAAATATATTTAACTGAAAATCAATTCAGACGAATGGAAATTCGCTTAGTCGGCAGGTTTGCTGCGGCGGGGGTATTTTTTTAAAGACAAATGAAAATAAACATTTTTTGATGAAAGGTGTTGGAGCCAAAGAATGATTTAAGTGCGCTTACTAATGCCTCTTTTCAGTGAATCTCAGACCTTAGCACTGAAAGCCAAAGACAAGGGGTAGGCATTAACGAGCCTCTTACTGTTCTTGTTAAACTATATATTAATCTCCTGGGATAACTCCAATAAAATCTTCTTAAGGCCTATTTTGATAGGAGTGATTACAGCGATAGTAGCTGGGCACTGTTCTAACGGAGTTTGCTGTCCTGTTTTGCTTAGAGCGACTGTCGCAAGAGTCGCTAGATACAGTCGCGGACCACTGCCCTGGGTACCAGTCTTGCGATAATTGCGCCGTAACTAGTGCACAGCGACACATGCGCAGAACCTCAAAACAGTCCAGTTCACTCAGTAGGCACATTAATAGGGGTTAAAATAGCCATAATTTACTTTTTTGTTCACATTAATTTTTTTATTCATGTGCTGTTACGATTGTACTGTTTTGGTTGTATTTCCTTACACCATAATTTCATTTTCTACATTAAACTGTAGAAGAAACAGGCAAATCTTTATTTCCAGCCAACTTTGCATTGTCCTTGCTCAAATGGTTGTGTTTACATTTTTTTTGATAATCCTCGTCTATTCGAATTTAAATATAAAATGCTTAGGACTGTTCCAAGTTGACTATGTGTTATTTAGTTGTGGGTGTTAATACGGTATCAGTTTTTTGTATGAATAAATATTTTTTATTTAGACTCCAGGTTTTATTCTCCGACATTCTTGTACTCTTATTGATATCACTAATTTTTTTTATTGATATAGATCTATTTTTTATTGATATCACTAGTTTTCTATTTATATCCTATCTAGTGATGTCTATAGTGATACGTATCCGTCCCAAATCCTACGTATCACTATGTATTTTCTATCTATCGTCTATTGATACTTCCACTAGGGTCAAGTAGAGCCTTGTTTTTTTAACTCCTCACTGAGGAGATACTTTAAAAAGTTACAACACACACTCATGCCTTCACCATTTTGGGAGTGCTGGTATTCAATTAACTATGAAAAATCACACGGCGACCGAAAATCAATCGCTCAAGCAAAACGGCTGCCGTAACAGCGATAATAGCTGAGCTATAATCGCTGATTTGATTTGTGCGACTATCACTACAGTCGCTCCAAGCTAAGTAGGCCTTTAAAAAGCATGTTCCTCATTGTTAGCATGCACACTAAGTTCGGTCAGATAAGGAGAACAAGAAGGCCAGAGACTAAGAAGAACATGTGTGCCATGTGTCATCTCTCTGAAACAAACAAGCTAGACGGTGCACTACTTCAGCACTAGTTACAACTTTCCCAGAACTTTTTTTAAAGTTGCTCATAAGAGACAGTGTGCAGCTTAGCCAGATACTGAGGGCACATGTTAATCCAACTCCTCTTAAATACATTGTACATTCGTAAGCCTCTTGACTCAATAAATCCCTACTTTATTGAAGGTTGGGGCTAACCAGTCACTACCTACGCTATCTAGCTGTAACTTAGTGCTTCCATACCTATCAGAAGGATAGTGGCTTTCTGATTGCTCAAAATTGTTCCACTAAAATGTCATAAATTAAATTAGGTATGTGCTCCTGTAAATACACAGTTTAAAGTGCTTTAGGCTGTTTATTTCAGACGATTTGGATCTCCAGATTAGTCAATTCTATATAGGTTAAATACCTAGTTAATTGTTACCAACTGTAACACTTGTAAAATTATGAGATAATGGTCATCTGAAATGTCTTTCATTGAGAAATTATCAAGACAATAGAGCTGAAAACAACAATGCAAGAGGTAAGAGGAGAGGGGAAGGACACGGAAACGGTCAGTCTAGACCTACACCCTAAACCCGCAGCCGCGCTATGATTGTTAGTTGTACGGCCATACAGTATTTTTTCATTACAATTTTTGTTTATGTTGGAGTCTTGTTAATGTGTTGAGCCTCAAAACCGGTCACCATTTAGCCGACTAAGGATTATGTTGGCAACAAGGTATTTAACCACTAGAGTAGTATAATTGTTAACACGATAGTGCATATGGGCTGACAAAAAATATGTGAGCATGCCATTCATTGGAACAGAGCCATTCTGTGGCATCAGCAAAGCTACCGCTTAATATGAAGAACCTAGCATCCTCTTCACTCGCTGGCTGATAAAGCTGGGGAGAGGGTAGGTCAAGCATGTACTTGCTCTCATCACTGGACATGGCCATTTCAGAAAAACACCTTCACACTCTAGGAGTGTCAACTTTGCAACCAGCCCGATGAGACTGCAAAACACACTATTCTGGTACTTGGAGAAGGGCTCTGTTTGGTCGAAAGCAGCCAGACGCTAACATTGGGCAAAAGCTCCTGCACCTAGTCAAAGACACAGGCATAGGCTTACCCAGTTAGTGGCTAGTAGGATGCACAATTAGCTTTGGTTGACATGCTTGTACCACGAGTCCACCCCTCTCATAATACAATACAAAAATTGTTATGGGGGTGTTACACATTAGGAGAGGGTTTCAGGGTCCTCCACTGGAAAGTTAGCAATTTTCAAAGCCATTTTTAACGTCTAGAACTGGATCAAAACCTTCTGTTAATGTTTTTAGTTTAAATTTATATTCCCGGGTGGGGGGGGGGGGGGGGGCTTTAGCCTCTATTTCCTTGGAACCGTCACTGATTGTTGAGTACAGTAATTCGGAAGGCAAAAAAAAAAAAAAAACAGATTAATCTGCTTAAACAAAGGGTTACTAAATTTACTCAAAAGTTTGATTTGGACACACAACCAAGAACTTTACTAGCAACTATCTTTACTCGGTTTGATAAATAACAATCTACTCTCACGAAAATGACAATCGTGTATACCAGTCAGTTAAAAAATAAATCTAATTGGAATAAGGAACGTGATAAACAAAAATACACTGTCTAATATTCATGATATTTTACAATATTTATTTATGGCTATAATTAATGTTCGTAACAGTTATAGGCACAGTTAAATAGCCTGAATAAACAAGCTTTGACAAGATACTGTCATCTTACCTCAGAGTACGGCAGATAAACGATATTATATAACCAACAATATAAAAATAAGAATGACCTTAACACTAATATCATACATGGTGTAAGATATCCATAGAAAACTCAATCACAGATAATTTAACTTAGTTGTATTTGATTTGTTATCCATTGACTCAGTACTATAATTATTTTAAATTGATATATTACTTAATTTATCACCCCTAAACAGTCCCTGGCTGATATTAGATAATATTTACCATATGTGTTGCAATTTTGGAAATACATGCAATAAACTATTACACTAAAACTGAATAAACACTTGCTCACATTTGAAACCAAATATTGAAAGTTGTTATCAATCTCAATAGAAAAAGGTTAAATGTTATTGTAAAACTTAATGCAGTGGACTGGAGTCCAGGAGTTGATAGGATTAGTTAAATTTGGACAGCCAATTGAATAAGATTCACACTTTGTCTATACCGACTTGAACAAACAAGTAACTCTTTGTATAGTGCTAAACGAATATTATTGCTGCGATTATTTATTGTTTGGTATTATGTCCACATAATGTGTGATTTTGCAATGCATCTATTCATTTCCCTATTAACTTCTAATGATTCATGTTGTTTTTAGTTTGTTCAAGAGGGAGTCGTGTTGGACACACCTGGAAATTGAGTCTGTCCCTTCCCATGAATTAAAATGCTTTTGAAAAATTAACAACAGACCATTTAATTTTTCACTGTAAGGTAGCACTTTTATTATGAAAGTAATTATGAATTACAAGTGCCATGGTTGAATCATTTCGCTGATAAATTATATTTCCTGCTTAATCCATCACCTCGATATTTATTAAATTTAAAACCAAATAAATTTTTTTTTGGTGATTATTAATTAACTATTTGATTGAATATATCTTGAAGATTGGGGAATACACAAGGGAAGTTCACAAGTTTTACTATACTTTATCCTGTCATAAATACTTTTAATTTTGTAGGTATGACAGAAAAGAAAGAAAAAATAAAGAGAAAGCAGAACATTGTGTTTTCATGTATGTGGTAGGACTCAGTAGTGGTTAGTAATGTTAGGAGAATGAAAACTCGGTTTAGTTATTTATGTAGATGTCCTTTTATAAAATTTATGTTGTTCTAGACTGATGGTTTCATAAGAAAAGGTAGTGTAAAATTTAAGTTTCTTTCTCTAAGTAAACAGTCTCAGATCACTGTACAAAAAAGTGTTTACAAAAAAGTCAGGAAATTGGCAAGACTCAAAAAGTGTTTAAAATGAAGATAAAGACTTTACCGGTAGTTCAAGATAATATCAAGTAAAATTTAGAAGAATGATGGCTGTCAACTTAACTGGGATATAAAAAAATTATCATGAATAATGGTTAGCTATGAACACCAAAACAATACGTAAAAAGTTGTACGATTCCACACAGTAATATACAACCCTTAGACACCATCTTAAATACATCAACAATAAATTATAAAAATAATAAAGCCTATAAAAATATATATAGTAAAATATTTTGGAGGATAACTTTGATGGCTTGTGCCTTAAAGTGTGGATGTATATACCATCAACTAAATAAAACTTGTTTAACAGTAAAGCGAGGGTAAGCATAGTATTTTAATTGGTTAAGAAATCCCGCATAAACTAATAAAAAATATATTTTCACACTATATGCAGAATAAATATCATAAAACGGTTTATTGACACATTTCAGTACATACAGATTGCAAATATTGACATTAGATTACATGACCAGTAACAAAACCAATACTCAAAACAAAAACATTAACACAGTAAAATAGTTTTTTGATTTACACATTTATGCAACATTTTATGAACATATTTAATCTATGAAAATGCATGACCACTTACAAATTTAGTAGGTAGAAAAGTCATTATAAAACAAATCCTTATAGAAGAGGGGTTGGCTGGTCACTCGGCGACAGGCTACCATTGCGGGTTCTGTGGGGGTTGTTGCCCTTGTGGGGGAGGATACTGGGGGTGATATTGGGGGTATTGTGGCGGAGGGTACCCCGGGTACTGCTGTGGTGGGGCCTGGTATCCTGTGGAAACAAAAATAGTTTATAACAGTAATTAGTAAATATTTGACAAATAAACCTCTAATTTACAAGTACTCTAAATTTAAATGTACAGTAGACTCTCAGTTATTTAGTGAGTCGGTGGCTCAGTCGGTAGCGTCACGGACTTCGGGCCCAAGGCAGCGATGTCGTGGGTTTGGATCCTGGTCACTGCTGAAAACATTTGATCAGTACACCTTTGTAATGTACCGGCTCACTCCTTGCTTCGCTGTATACGATCCACGCACGGGCGGTTAGTCTATGTGGACGGACAAACGCAAGGTTAAAAGAGGCCGCCAACCTCTATAAAAATTAAAAAATCCGGCCGTTATACTGCCGGAATTCTGGAATGTTATCAATAAAAACACTAAAAATGCACTTAAAACTCATCTCCGAAGATCTCACAATTAGAAACCACTATTGCCACGATCGCGCATGATGACGATGACGTTTTATGAGGGTTGTACATCAAATTAAAGCAAAACTGGCTAGTTCAAACACCAGTGCTGTATTTACTTCCCAACTACTAATCCTCACCTTTAAGCAACAATGAGTTTGGTTGGAGAAAAATTATTATGTCAGAGAAAATCAACGCTCCTGCCAAGTACGAATCTCGTTCTTTAATTAGGATTCTGTAGCAAGGCGGTCAAGCACTTTTGAAATCTGTTATCAGTTGACAGATGTGTGTGGAGAAAGTGTAGGTTTAGTAGTACTTAAAAAGCTAATTTACTCCCAATGTGAATATGAGGAACTACAGTTTTAGAAAATAACAAGAAACTTGACGCAATCAATCTGGAATATCCAGTAATAGATGAAGGCAGCAAGTAACGAAGTTAGCAGAAAGCTATTATGAGGTGGGCAGTGGTTGCCGTCAGTTTACATCAAGACAGTGATCTAAGAGAAGGACATTTTTCTTGCAGTTCGGCATGTTAACAAGTAGCATAGTTTACCACTGCACTTTGTAAAAAACGTCCCCAGTAATTAGGAACAAGGAAATTTTTCTTGCAGTTCGACATGTTTACGAGTAGCATAGTTTACCACTGCACTTTGTAAAAAACGTCCCCAGTAATTAGGAACAAGGACATTTTTCTTGCAGTTCGGCATGTTAACAAGTAGCATAGTTTACCGCTGTACTTTGTAAAAAACATCCCCAGTAATTTAAGACAAGGAAATTTTTCTTGCAGTTCGGCATGTTTACGAGTAGCATAGTTTACCGCTGTACTTTGTGGTTTTAAAAACATCCCCTATCAGTTTATCTTGATGCCTCTTGCCAGCAAAATTGACAATTGACTCTTGATACTGTTGACAATTGAGTGGCTTGACTGACTCACCTGATGGGAATGGTAATGTGTAATATCCAGCAGGCATAGTAGGCATGGGATACTGAGGGTACGGTGCCTGAGGCCCAGGGGCGTAAGGTATAGGCATGTTCTGAGGACCAACAGGGTACGGCAACTGAGCGGCTGATGTAGTAGGTGGTGGAGGTCGTGGAGGAGGTTCCTTCTTGCCATCTGCAAAAGAGTTCAACTATTAAGTAAAATCCAATTTAAACTATTTTTTTTAATAAACTGACAAACATATGATTGATATTTCCACCACCAGAGCAGCTACCAGAAGTCTACAGAGTCTACAGAGAGCCGCTAGAAGCTCGAGAGGTTGAGTACGATTTTAATTGATTACTTAAAAGTAGGGATGTAGAAGACTGAAAAATTGATGAAATCTGTATTCTAAATTTAAGATTTTAATAATCTTTGCAGTTTTCTGACACTGCAATCTTGGGATAGTAAATTTGTTATCTTGACCACGCAAGCAGATCATTACACCGCGTAACTCGCGGTAAGACGATCTCTCAATGGATCCATAGTTAAAATGTATCGAGAATCAATGTTTCCTGTCGGTATTGAAAGTTATGTGCCTTTTGTGAAATTGAGGAGCAGAACTGCCCCATCCCCATTTATTAGGTATGACCGCAAAATTTACAGCTTAATCAAGATTTTTTTACAGTTGAAAAAATTCTGGTTTCAAGGCTTTCACAGTTGAATGAGTTCCCTGTCGAACATGCACATTTTATTTAGCTTTTAGAATATTTCATAAAATATAGTTAAACATTAATGCTGTCCCATTAAAAATAGAAGAGTTTCTTAATTATTTTATAAAAATACTGGTTTTCTTAACTTAAATAAATATTGAGACAAACTAATATGGGTTTAACAGCTTAATTTTGGGAAAGCTAATAAGTTTTTCTTGAATCTTCTGAAGTTAATTAAATGGTAATAGGCAATTTACCTAAACACACTAAAGTGAGAATCTAACAATAACAAGTACCTATATAGCTCAACGTAATATAGCATCTACGAAGTTACAATTACAACATCAATCCCAAACAAAAGAAAAACAAACAATTTTTGTGCAAATTAACACAAGAAATGCAAACAATTCATAGGAATAAATCACAAAACCAACACAGTCCGTCAAGCATGGAAAACAACACTTAAAAGTTAATCCAAGCACTTCGACAAAAGGGTCCCTGGTAGAAAAACTGTTTCCTATTTACCTGAACTCAAATGCATCAAAAACCTTCTTTAATTTTACTTAGCAGTCTTTATATTTATACGAACAAATGGTTTTCAATCGTACGGCTAAAAGTATTCATTGCAAAACGCAACTTTTAGTACTTAAATGACGCTCCCAATACAGCTGAACATATTACAGTGGGATGGTAAGTTCATTGTTGCTGAAATGGAGGAAGTATTTAAATAAAAGAACCACTATTTACTAGTTTGCCATCACCATTGATTCTTTGTCACCCCGCATGCAATGATTCCCCCTCCTGACTCACCGGGTTGGTTTTCAATTTTACCAGGTTCCCCAGCTTTAGCCTCAGTTTTGCCCTCAGTTTTTCCCCCACCACTTGCAAGGTAGGTCGACAGTGTGTTCAATCCCGTCTGTAAAACTCCGGTCAAAACGGCTGCAATCAGATTCGTGAAGTGTTACTCAATAGTGGCTAGTGGAAAGGAGAGGTCCAAAGCTGCCACAGGTTAGTGAGGGTCTTACAATGTTAGCAGGTAGATGTTTTAGCCAATTTGATAGAAGTTGCATTAAATATGAGTGTTAAAATTGAGTTTGAAGCATATTAAAAAGCGAATGCTGACCTAAAACTTACAGCGAATACTGCAAATTTATTTTACAATCTTTCATTAATGAGCGTAAATGTAATGCGTTAAAGTAACACTTTTTTGCTAGAAGCTTATTTTTTTGGCCGGAGTGTACTATAAACTTAAATGAATTTGAGTTTTCGTTCCTGATTGATACGATGTTTAATTTATGTTACGTACCTTTTGTCAACATCAATCTAGTGTATAATAATTGGGGACTTGTTTTGGTAGTGATTATTGCTCCGTTTTCAAATCTCCTTTGGACAATATTATAAGATTTGAAAATAAAGGAGTAATGATCAAACACTAGACATCTAATAATTGATAGTGGATTGATGACAACAAAAGGTTTGTATCAAATGCTATAGTTATAAATGTACAACTAGAACTCAATAAGAGGCAAAACACAGTAAAATGTTGTCACAAAAACTCTTTCTGTAAGTAGTTGTTCAACATTTTTAACATCGGGAAAAAAAATGCAAATATTGATGCTGTTAGTTAACCGCTTTTCAAAAGGGAAATTTAAAACTCCGGTTAAAATCATCTAGCCCTTTAATTCAGCACCGTAATAGTTTGGCGACACAATAGTACATGCTTAAGTTTGATAAAAATGCATTAGGTCTACGTGCAAAAAATACTTGCTGATGTAATGTCTCTCTGTTAGTCTTGTATATAAATAAGTTTGTACTTAATGAAGAAGTAATGGAAACCAGCAGTAAAATCTGTACGGCTACTCAAAAGCAACAGGATTTAAAAATTATTTTTTAGTACATGAAAAAAACAGTGAAAATTTGTGTCATAAACATTTTGCCGTCTGAGCCACCCAAAGTCGAAACCAAATTGAATTGAAGTTTGAACAAGAATGATTCTACTGGTGCTGTCTAAGGCACTAAATTTGTATCAGTAAAATTATACATCCTCTTTTGGTAAATTATATATTTGGTGATATGCAACTGTTAAAGATATTTTAAATAGTAGGTGTGCTGCATTTGCACAAACATTTACTGGTAGTAGGATCAGTAAAAACATTGTGACTATGGTTAGACACAGACAGGACTTGCAAATGCAATACAAACAAAATAATAAAACACAACAATACAACAAGCATGTGCCAAGTATTTTTAACAACATACATAACACAACATTCACATTTAGTACTACAGAGCAAGTCAAAAACATGGATGACTAAAGATGCTTGATTTACACAGTGGCAAAATTATTTTATCAAAATTTTTTATTTGAAGACCAGTAACAATGCCAACAAAAAATACAAACCGCTATTAGCAAGAAAATCTAATTTTAGAATATCTTTCTTTACCAGGTGTCTTAAAAAGCACATACACTCAGCTCCCGACCAACCAGGATAAAGTAGGGTTGAGGCTTCCTGGATTCGCAAAATGTCGATAATCCGCAAAATATTATTGAACAGAAAAGGATATCAAAATTATCAAATGAAATATTTACAAGACACAAACCACTCTGAATTCCTTTTTTTGAAAATAATCTTCTCACAGTTTTCTAAAGAAACATCTCTTTTTGATTCTACTTTCATGCATTTTAAATTTACAGCAAACTGAGCCGTGACTACTTTCCACAGACGAATGTCACAACTCATTTTCTGTTTCTGTGTTCAAGTTGTTTTTGTATATTATGGTTTTGCCATGTTTTTTTTTCCAACGTCCCCAATGAAACTGTTTGCCACGCACTTCTTCTTACTCCTACCGGGCTGAAGTCAGAGGCTCCGTGACGTCTTAACATTTTCCCAATCCGTTTGCATGAATATTTTTGTGTCTTATTATGCATATAATGGTTGAATATTTAAATTTGTGCTTCGTTTTCTTCAATATGGAGTTTTAAGCAAGCCGATTTTGCCTGATGGGGCCCCGGAGGAGAGCCATCTGGCTTCCTTGAGCGTCGGCGGAGAAACTTACCATCCTGGCCTACTTTGGACTCTGGCCCCCTCTCCGCCCAGCTTCATGGCCCTCCGGTGTCATGTGCCTGACCTGCCAAACTACCAGAACCGTCTACCGCAAGTTTTTGTGATTTGTTTGATTGTCATATTTATATAGATCTATTTATTTACTTAGGCCTATTTATTGTAGCTGTTGTTAGACTGAGATACTTTATTATTTGTTATTTAATTTTTAAGAACATCATTGATCTTTTCTTATTTATTTATTGATTCAGGGGGCCCCTAAGAATTATTTTACAAGGTTTAAAAATTAAATTAAATTTAAATTTAAATTGTTATATGCTATATAAGTTGCTTAAACATCTTAGACGGTTGTTGTTAATTTTTCATAATGATTGAAATTGAAAGGTATCTCTATTGTTATAACTGTAATTTGTTGTTTTATTTAGAAGGAATTTAAAATTAATAAAAGCTTGTAACGGTGTATTCTACAACCGTTACAGTTTCACGTTTCCGGGGGTGGGTTGCCGTCAAATCAGGAACGTACTGTAGTACCAGACACTCCCTGTCTCTCTCTCTCTCCACAGCGCTCTCTCTCTCTAACCCATATACAAGCTCTGTCCTTACCACAAGAAGGGACGAGAGGAGAGGTAGGGGAGTGGCGCATGCGCACTGGCCACTGCCTGGAGGAGCTCCACTGCGGTGGTTTGTAGAATTATTCGACTCCATACCTCCGAACCGTGCATATGTCTCGAGTTTGGTAACCTCGCTGGCTAAATAAGGGAAGCATAAACCTTTTCACATCTCATCATTGAATGTGACTTTTGCTTTAGTTTCCATTCAAAGCTTCGATTCCTAGTAACGTCGTGTTGCTGTTAAAGCAACCTAGGAATAAAATATATTATTTTTGACATAACTAATATTCAATTTCACAAATATTTTCTATCAATTAACTCGTTTTCTCCCAGTACCGCTTTGTTGCTGTGTAAGCAGCCTGGGCGTCCCGTTAATAACGTTTGTATTTAGTGTTTTTATAAGTGTGTTCTTTAATAGATTGAATCACTTTGTAACATAATGAAAAACATTGGTCTCTAATGAGATAAATATCTACTTCGTACTTTCGTACATCGTTAGGAGCTCAATTTGGCAATCTAAAAACAGTGACAAAGTGAGATATTACTGAAAATAGGTATCTTGTCTGAGTCACTCAAAATTATTTTCTTATCTGCGATGACGAACCCTGGCATCCACTGAGCCATCCAAACACCTAAATTAATATGTTGACTATTTTCCCGTAAACCGGAAATACGTCACAAGCTTTGTATTGAAAATTGTTTTGATAACTGAAGAAATGGCTGCTAGTAGGATAGATGGCAATTCTTAATTCTTTGAGTTTTGATCATCTGTTTTACATGTATTATTGTTGATGACTTGTTTCTTGTTTTTTTATGTTCATTACAGCTGGTTTCTCTCAAATGGCGCGTTGTTCTTGAACCTTCCTCCACGGTTTTCCTAGTTGTTTGGTAGTTTTTGTGAGCCGCTCCTCGTCCCTGCACATGGGATCACGCTTCCAATTCGTTTGCCTGGTTGCAGGTGTGAGGGCGTGGTTCAAAATCAGGAGGGGTCTATGACTTTCAGTGGGCCCCGCTGCAGACAAGAGATTTATGGTTTGTTTATATGCTACTGCACTTCCTACCTTGAAAAAAATGCTGCAATTCCAAAAAACACTGAACTACAGTTTAAAACGAAAACACTGGCTCGTGTTGGCAATTAGGATCGTCTCTGTCTGCATTTAATTTAACTTTATTTTCCTAGAACGTGTCCTGGTTAATCTGATTCTGGTTAATTGGGAGTTGAATGTAGTAGCATATGACTATTCTTTTGGGCAACAATGTCAGTGGATCTAAGAATAGGTCAGCACTGGAAGCTATAATGCGCACTACATGTAACTTAAAAAATCCACTTCCACATGTTTACAATCTAGACTAGATTAAAGCGTCTCTAACATTTAAGGATAACCAAAGGGTTACACAAGCTGGCAGTGACAACGGCTAACCAATTTAGTTCAAGGAAAGGCTCTAGGCCAGGATTTAGCATTGTTGAATAAAGGGATAGCAGCTAGCTTATCTTAGAATAAAGTAGGCCATGTAACACACATAATACTCACAAACTTGCAGATTAAGCGAGTCCAACTCTTTTCGTCTACACTTGACAAAATAGTGTCCATTTTCTGTGTTTTCTATGACTTACCTACAGTTATTCTAAGGTAATGAAGATTTTTGTAAAGATGGCTTAAGGCCAGGGTTTTTTGTAATGAATAGGTTAAAGCATACTTACCTTACTGACAAAAATATATGAAAATTCATAAACAAAAACACATTTTGAAGCTGCTAGTCCTTCTATAGTAGTAGCATTTTCATCTATTTTCGTCAGTAAGGTAAAGCCTATCCATCACAAAAGCCTCATTCTAAGGTAAGCTAGCTGTTATCCTCTTTGACCCTTTATTCCACTAACATTGATTGCGTTGGAGGTGAATTGCTGAGAATAAGACAGTAAAAGCAATGGTAGAATCACTACAATAAACTAACTCATAACTTATGGTCAGTTAGTGGCACTACGGATTATGAAATTAAGGCAACGACGTTGTGAATTAGTTTTGGTGGTACCACTTAAATCTACCAGAACGGTAAACTCTAGTACAAAGACTCACCCCTTGGTACTACAATGCAAAGGCTGATATGGTCAGAAAAATAAAAAAAAAATAAAAAAAAAGAGGCTGCTAACTTTTATTTTTAAAAAGTTAATCCAACCAAAACGATCCACTGTAGAGGTGTATAACCACTGCAGCGATCCACTGTGTATAACCAGCAAAACATGTGATACCTGAAGTAATGCCGGAGACTCCACCGTGATGTTGTGGTAGGTTTGGAGCGACTGCTTGAGCTACAGCTCCCAATCCACGAGTCAGGTCCTTCATCAGCTCCTCCTTCTCTGTCTTGCGAGCGAAGCAGAAGTCCGAAACTTTGTTTTGGAAAGCAAGTAGAATCTGTCAAAACAAAAGTCACTCCATTGAAAACATAGAATGGGTTTTCTGACCAAGGATCAAGGGAAAGGTTACTGATAACAACACCATTTTTCCATTTACCATCAATCAAAAACCATAACTAAAAACCATTGTTGTATTTTTATCACAGTTTAGTTGAGCTTGGATAGAAGAGCTTTAAAGGTTTAAATTTTAAATATAAATGGTTGATATAAAATATATTTACCGATTGATATGAAAATTCTGGTGTTGGTCTAAACGGCAAACTTTACGTTGGTAATCCTGATTTCAAAGAATTGCGTCTACAATATTTTTACTGGTTTTTCAATAAATAGTGCAACAGTATTGTTGCATATGATTTTAATAATTTAGTTTTTGTAATTTTTTGCTGGAATAAAATCCTTCACAAAAATCAAAATCCCACCCAACAAAATCATGCCCCCCAAAAATATTGATGGCGCAAGTTGCACTATGCCCCCCCTCTTCTGAGCACCCCTGTATCAAGTATTTTGAGTGTATATATACATTTTTTTTTTTTTTACTCGTCTGCAACCTTTCATTAGGTGAGTTAGCTGTGTACTCTCCATCCTCTATATAGTTCTTTAGTTCTATTTTAACAGTAATTGTGTCAATATTTGAATATAATTACTATGACGCCAGTTATCATCACAGATAATCAACAGTGTGTTTGAACTAACTTGCGTTCTCTACATCAGATTTTACTTACCTCCCTTCTGGCAAAGCCATAAGTAAACCAAAGGTGCAGTAAAACCCCTTTCAACCGCACATTGTTAAACCAAAACCGTCGAACAATTCAAATAAATTGGAAAATGAGCCTGGCAACAGGAATTGTCTGTCGTGGCGCAAGTAGTTGGCCAGACCTAGCCAGCGGAATGTGATGGAGCGGACGGTAACTTGGATCTCATACCAAGATAGATGTAGATTTTAAGATGAGCGGACGGTAACATGGATCTCATACCAAGATAGATGTAGATTTTAAGATGAGCAGACGGTAACATGGATCTCATACCAAGATAGAGTTGTAGATTTTAAGATGAGCGGACGGTAACATGGATCTCATACCTAGATAGATGTAGATTTTAAGATGAGCGGACGGTAACATGGATCTCATTCAAAGATAGATAGTTGTAGATTTTAAGATGAGCTGACGGTAACATGGATCTCATACCAAGATAGATGTGGATTTTAAGATGTCAGAAAAAAATTAAATAAAAACTACTGTTGTTGCAGATCTTATTGAATAGGCATAACCTTTCAATTCCTAACCCTTGATTAATTGAAAAATAGGTTCTCCAAAACAGCTTTATCCCCTTTCTTTAGGCTACTAATCAGGGGTTTACTGTATTATGTTACATACCTCTGTCAAGGAGTTGTAGAACTTAGTGCCTTCCTGCAGATTGTTCATCAGTTCCATGTAAGCGTCGTGAGCAGCTGCCAGCTCTTTGAGGACTGCCTCTCTTCTCTGAGCTGCATGACCTTGTCCGCTGCGCTCCGCAACAAAATCTGTGTTGGTTTTCTACAACAGTTATGACATTACTGTAGAAAAAAAATTGTAAACACAGTGGGTCTTATGAGGATAAAAAACCAAGGGTACATAACAAATTTGCATTAGATAAATTTGAATTTAATTTGCTTGAAATTGGAAAATTAGGGTAACACTTAAAAATCCTTAATTGGAAACATACACATAGTCATTAAGACAGGGTTAAGATTAAATTCAGCCATTTTTTGTATGGGGAGTCAAATATTTGTAAGTTTAGTTTAATATTTTAAATTATGACATTGTTGATGGATTTTTACAAGTATAAACGCTGTATAATCTTTCGCAAACGACCAAAAACTAATATAGTGATAATAGCGCTCATAGCACATTTGAAGAGGTTCACTGTGACTAATACACAGATCAACAGTGCTGTCATTTTTACAGCAATTAGGAGTTGTGCTATTTTGTTTAGAGTCAAAAGTAGACTATAACATACCAAATTTCAATCATAATCTTTCGAGCTGTATTTTTGAAAATTCAACATTTCTGTTAGGCCCTATTTTATTGTTTTTAAGGGAAAATCACAATTCAATTGTTAGTCCAACCTAACACTCAGAATCATTTTATTTTCATATTTACAGGCTCACACCAGGATATACTTGATGGTTCTGTACCTGAATCTCAGCTAGGATGCCCTCCTGTTTGTTAAGACTGTCCTTGACCTGATGTTGCAGAGGTCCGTACGCTCTACCCAAAGTCTCCACAGTGAGTGCGTGTTCATTGATGTTTCCATCGTGCAATGCAGCAAGGAACGTCTCTTTCATATCCACACTGGCGGACTTAAGCTCACACTCTATAGCGTCTCTCTCTGCCTTCATAGTCTCTACCTGAAATAGATGAGAAATTCAGTTGAGTGAATTTACTTTGGAATAATGATTTGATAAAATTTCAGAGGTAAGTTTATTATTGAAAAATAAGAACATTTATTGAAGAATGTAAATAATAGAGGTTACAGTGAATGCACTGATTTACTGATTTAACTAAGAAAACGTTAACTACAGATAACCTAAAAAGTTAGCTGGCTTTCTAGTGAATAATCAAAAATATTAGTAAATTTTATATTGGATAACTAAGGTTGACCAACAGGCCGGTTGTTATCATACCTGGTCCATTAGCAGACGGAGACGACCTGCAGATGAAGAGTTGCTATTGGTAGGCGAGGCACCTCCTGCATGAGGCACAGACGCAGCCATCACTGCTGGCCCCTCACTTAGCAGCTCCATGCCTCGCTTGTGCGCCTCGTACTTGTCCCTCACCGTCTGAAACGTAGACAAAGTTATAATTTTATCTTAAATGCCAGTGCTGTTGAGACCTACCATTTCCAAAAATATATCCAAGAAAACCTAAAATACCCCGCCGCAGCAAACCTGCAGGCAGACTAAGCGAATTCCCATTTGCCTGATTTGATTTTTAATTAAATCTATTTCAAAAACATTAGGTTTAACGAGTACCTAGGTTTGCTGCTACAGGGAGGATAGTTAAGTGTTTTTGAAAAAAAATTAATAGCTTCGTATAAAATAAATAGATTTGCCAAGTTTGATCAAAATATATCCATAAACAAGCCAACTACAACAACAGTTAACTTATTCTCCGTAGGAATAACACAGGAATTTTAAATTTACACTTTAATTTTTTTAAAATTTTTTCCGTAACTAATAACAAAAACACTTAAATAAACTAAATTATTTGTTTTTTAAGCTCTTCAAATTGGTCTAGAGAGAAACTGGGAAATTTTATGTTTTGATGCTCAAAAACAAGAAAAACTAATTTTTTAACTTCAAATATTAATAAATACAGGTACTTAACCTTTGCTTACATTGTTTGTTTGTGTATAAATATAATTTAGATTATACAGATCATTGTTAAAACTAGACAGGATGTGGAAAACTCTTTTGTTACTGATTATTTAATACTAAAATTTGTTCAAATGATAGCACAATTAAATAAAGACACTAAAAGACTTGTTAAATTATTTGAAGGAATTTGGCTATTTAAAATATGAATTGGCTTTTTTAGGTTTTCTTCGTAATCAGGATCGAAAAAGTTTTCCAAATCCTGTTTAGTTATATGATCTGTACAATCTAAATTATATTTATACACAAACAAACAATGTAAACAAAGTTTAAGTATTTACTGTTATTTGAAGTTTGAAAATGGACTCATGTCCGAAAAATATAATAATTAGTTCAGGGTGCTCAGTTGGGCTTTATTTACTACTATAATTTAATATATCAGCGGCCCTATTACGTGAACACCTAAACTAAAATATATATATATATATGAATTTGAATGGATGGTGTTTTTGGCCTCTGGGGACATCAAAACAAAAATTAAATCGGTCCTGGGTCCAAGTCTTATCAGGAAACCTATGGAAATAGCTTATTCAAGCTTGACAAAAGAGAACAATCTGCTAAGCATTTATTTAGCAAGTTATTCCTCAGAAAATTTTCAATCAAAGTTGAATACAGATTTCTTAAAATTAGTTCATAGTTTAATGCAGGGGTCTCCAACCTTTTTTACACAAGGGCCACATTGACAATTTTTGGTGGAAGGAGGGCCCCACCTCCAAATAACCCACAAAGAGGTAATTTTCTAATTAAGAGCTCAGCAATTAAGTTTGAACATTCTTCCTGATTTGTTGTTGCTATAAAACCTTTTGACTAACTAAAATTCTGTACGTTTTCGTGCGAATTGATACTGTGACCAAACAAAATAACTTACCTACCTCATATAGGCCTAATTAACACGTTCGCGGCGGCATGGGAGCAATCGCTCCCATTCGGAACCCTAATGCCATCCTGGTGGGTGCGATCGCTCCCAAGCTGCAATGCAGTACGAAATGATTTATTTTTAAGCCAGGATTAGAGCTAGAAACTTGAAACCTTGCACAGCACTGCTCAATAGTATACTGTATTTTGTTGTGGTGTAGGTTGGTAGTAACTTTCCCTGTAAAATCCCCGTCTGGCAATCTCAAAATTCTACTTTTTGTCCCGTCTTTTTCCCTCCATTTGGCAATACAATTCCAATGGGACCGGCTACGTTACAAGCAGTGCTGCTATCTGTTGGTGTTTAGCGAACTACGTCGACTCTCGTTGTAAAGCAAGACATCCTCGCACGTTATTTGCTATTTGTCAGACCGAAATTGGAAAGCCAATCACACGCGGCAATTGGGTTTGTTCGATGCTGAGGGCTGCGCCACACCTGGTATACGCCCGCCATTTGACGTGCCGCCGCGAACGTGTTAACTTATTTATGGATATATAAACTGTGTATGTCATATTTATACTTTGTCATAACATAAGTAGGCTTATGTTTATTAAAATTCATAACAATGTTAATATAAATTAATTTTACAGTATATTTACCATGGCATTAGTATTTGTTCTAAAATAGAAGTTTTTACGTAGGACTAGGGATGGTCAAGTCTCGAAATTTCGGGAAATTTTAAATCTCGTTACACGAGACGAGATTACTTTTTGGACAAGATTTTTATCGAGACGAGAATAAAAAAAAAAAAAAAAAATTAATTAAAAAACGCCTGCAGAAAGTCAATGCAATACCCGCAATACAGGAGCGTGTTGTAGTTGCGTTTCCTTTTCGAAGGCGTTCTTATTTAATTAATTCTTTTAATGTAAATATTACTTTAATTCTTTTAATGTAAATATTACTTTAATTCTTTTAATGTAAATATTACTTTCATTATTTTAATAATATTACTTTAATAACATTTGAGAAGTTTTGTTAAGTGTAAGCAGTGTGAGGAATGTTTTATTACTATAAAAAAGTCAAAACAAGTAACTATTTTATACAAATTAATATTGCTTTTATTTTATGATTTATTTTATTTTAGGATAAGTTGAACTCTATCCTAACTGATATCACCATGTTTCCTAATCGTAGGCATTTTTAATAAGTTAGGCGTGATTAATAAAAAAATGTTATGCTGATGTTATTTAATGAAAGATTGTAAATATTCTTGCCTATTATCATTATTTTAGTATTTAAACAGTCATCTAACAATGTTACAAAATCAGGTAAAAATTTCGAACGTGCATTTCCCGTTGTGTATGAGAAGAGAAATCTCGTCTCGAAATTTTATGAGAAATAAAAAATCTCGTCTCGAACTAAAAATCCAATCTCGTCCATCCCTACGTAGGACTGATGAAAACACAGGATTACACAACACCAAATATTTGCGATGCACTACTAAGTTTACTTGATTGAACATTTAATTGTAATGATGACAAGAATAGGGGTCTCAATCCCGGGCCTTCAATCCAATCCCGGGATTTCGGGATTCGTCTCAGCCGATCCCGGGATTATATAATATTATGATTTTTTACTTTTTAGCCATTTTAAATGAGCGAGTCCATTTAAATTAAGTCTCCTCGTTGAGTACTTTAATGTTTTAAACTGGCCTTACCAGTGTTACACTGCACAATGTTTCCGTTTTCTAAGTAAATAAATATTACCACGCCAAACTTTCATCGCCCGTATTTCTTATTTACAGTGTATAAATGTTGATATGTCACTCTAGAATATAACAAATACATTTTAAAAAAAATCACGAGCAACCGCACTCGCACGTAGCCTAGATACGTTACGCTAATAGATTGATTAAAGATAGCTAAGAGAAAAAGATAAAATGGGAAGAATCATGAGTAGCAGCGTTAAAAGGTTATTTTGACTGACAGCAATAAACCAATATAAGATAATGTAAAACAATAAACCATCTGCTTATGTAGTAGCGTGCATATGAAAAACGTAATTTTAGATTGTAAGAAATTTAATCACCACACTAATAACCACATACGAAGATAAAGCTATAGACCAGTATTTCCCAACCAGTGTGCCGCGGCACACTGGTGTGCCAGTAGGCCTCTGTAGGTGTGCCGCAAAATTTTAAGTAGTTAAAAAATTTTTGATCAAGAAAGAAACTTTTAATAAACAAACGGGTACAGTTTCTTAACTGGGCTATGCTAATATCGATTGAAACTATCGAATTGAAAATATTGATAAATAATCAATATTTTTAAATATATCTATTATTAAATTAAACTATCATAACCTAACCTAACCAACCAAACTTGCTGATAGTGAAAAATCGCATGAAGGTTTACTTATCGAATCAATAGTTTCAATCAATATTAGCATAGCCCAGTTAAGAAACTGTACCCAAACAAACGTCAAGCACAAGTTTCCCACTAGAACTGAAACCAGGGTTTATTTAATATTTCTCACTCATTATTGGTAAATTCATACAACATTTTAATCAAGCTCAATGTTTTATTATTAACTTATTATAACTTCTCACTTAATAAACACTAAATAATGTACATATGTTGGATAACAAATGTGAGTTTTATATTTTTTACCTTGGTAAACCCACCTTTATATTATATACATACATATATTTACTAGTAAAAAATAGGTTATACGGAGTAAGATGTAATAAAAAAAAAATTGTATGCACTTACTAAATGTAATTTTAACCAACGATATTTTGTAGACAAGTGTGCCGTGACTCCAAACTTGTTCTAGTTAGTGTGCCCTGAACGGAAAAAGGTTGGGAAACACTGCTATAGACCCTAAATATAAGCAATCTTAACACTGTAATGAGATTATAATCGTGTGTCAATAGTTATATTTTATGGCATCAATGAAAATAATACTAAAATTTCCGATTGCAATGTTATGTTTGCTACACGAACACAAATTGCGTAGTTTACGTTTAATGTCAACAGTAAAACTCGAAATAACTTGTAGGCCTACTGTAATTAAGTTCTAACTAATGTAATAGCATTTACAGAAAGTAAATCCAAATCGTCTAAAAACTGAAACATATATTTAGGCCTACATTCGTTCGCCTATTGAGTTTAATGATAATTAAATTTTCCAATCAAAAAGATCATTAGGCCTACTTATACCATTTTGTATAATCGTCCTAAAATAAAGAGTATATGTGTTTCAAGTGTTATTGGACTATTTTTGTTAGGTTTCCTCAAGTAAAAAGTTCTCAAATTCACAAAAACATCAGTATAAACATAGGTTTTTCAATCCCGTTAATCCCGGGATTAAAAGTCACCAATCCCGGGATTTCTAGGTATAAAAAATCGGCCGGGATCCCGGGACAAGAATCATTTACAAGGAGTGTAAAGCTAACATTAACAGCAATTTTTAAGGAGAATTTTGTATATTTGCCACTTTAAGGTCAGCCAAATCAGGGTTAAAGTTGATGTCCTGATCCATAGGATTGTTTTCAACTCAAAGGATCTTTAGCTTGGAAGATCTGTATTAAGATAGCCCGATCACTAGGCACATACTTACAGCTAATTTTATCTTATTGGAAAAAACATGGAAAATGTGAGAGAGGTGTACTATACACACATTCCAACAGGGGATCTGGGTATCCAGCCAACCTGGACACCGAAAATTGTAGCCTACTTGAATTCGATATGGTCCAAGAACTACAATGATCACCAACAGCCAATAAATATAAATTTATTGACGGCGTTCCATTGGTTCTCTTTTCGTTACTTAACATCATAAGTAAATCACGATCACTAAAGATCATCCATCACAGAAATTTTACTGATACAACAAGAGATGTTTACAGTGCAATCGGGATTGTCGAGACCGCAACATTTATTAACAGGTATTACCGTGACCGTGAGTGACAATCACGGCATTGCCGAGACCGCATCATTTACTTACGGGTAGGCCTATTGCCACGACCATGAGTGATGATCACGGTACCGCTGAGACCGTAACATTTACCTACGAGTGTTGCCGCAATCGCGAATGACGATCACATTAAGTTATTACCGAGACAGCAGCATTTACTTACGAGTGTTGCCCCGACGACTCGATATCGCCAATGTGAAGGACGATCATGATATCACTGAGACTGAAACATTTACTTACGGGTGTTGCCGCAACTTTGACTATACAAATTATATAAAAATTATTATTTCCTAGTAGGCCTTCAAGGGCCGGATAAGATCTGTTCGTGGGCCGGATAAAATCTGTTTGTGGGCCGGATGTGGCGTAGGTTGGAGACCCATGGTTTAATGTAACCTACAGGAGTAGCTGGTTCCCTATATGGGAAATTCGCTAAAACCAAGAATTACCTTGTCGGCTTGTGCTGCATTGTTGAGGATTGTCCTATACTTCTCCATGTTTGTTCTGAATGTTTCTGTTAGACGAGACGAGGGTATTCGGTTCCACTTGTCTTTGAATTGGTCCCGTAGCTGGTCATCGGACTGCTTCTCATCATTCAGCATTCTCTCAGTCTGAAATAGCATTTACACACCCTTTAGCCTGACTATCCTCCAAAAAAATTTGTCATTAGACTCATGGGATGTCATTGGAATTTTTAAATCGACATGGATATGTTTATAAAAACAAAAAAAAATGTATTAATAGGAAAAAGTGGCGAAGTAGTTAACATAATAATACTGTGAAATCGAATTCTATTAACAACTGTTAAATTAAGATGGAAGTAAAAACTACTCACCATACATTTTCTTTAAAGATTATTAGGCCTTAAAACCCACTAGGCCTTAAGAATAGCCTGCAATTTTCTCCCAAACTATCTTGATCGTTGTTTTTTGACCAAACAAAACAAATACTGTATTGTCCTTAATCTCACTGGAAATAATCAACCAACTATTTAGAGGTTAGAGTCAGGCCTACTAGCTCAACTAAAAAATTAACAAAGCAAAATGTAAAAAAACTTCTATCTGTGTTTATAATATTGCTTGATAATAAAATATAAAAAAAAGATTGTATTTATGTATATTATTTCATTTTCATATCTTATTTACAGCTTGGGAATTGCCTCAACTGCAAGAAAGAAGAAAATATTTTTTTTGTATCAAAACATACTTTCCCATTTTCATAACTGTTGAAATAACTAAATAGCTAAATTACAACAAGTTTTGATGGAAATTAATATAAAAAGATCTTAAACGAATCAATTAACGTATCATAATTTTAGGGCCTGTTGAAGTGGCTTCAAGACTGCAAGCAATTGCCAAATTTGATTAAAATATATCCATAAGCAAGCAAACCACAACAGTTTATTTATTCTCCATAAGAATAACATGGCAATGACGAACTAATCTCTGACCCCATCCAGTCTCTCGGGTCTTCCGCTGGGCCCGACTCGACCTGAAAAATTTGGGGACCTGCAGACCCCTAGCGAAAACTAGTATGAGCAACTACACGTCTGTGAGACTTAATATGTTTTTATATTGCCTCTGAGAAGTCGGCGGATAAACTGAGGACCAGTAAAAGAAGGACAGGTAACAGAGGTTTTACTGTAAGAGGAACTGTAAGCAGGCTGAGAGGCCTAGTTAGTGCTATGTGGAGCAGTAGTTTATGTTGGTACCTCGTCAAGTATTTCTCTGTTGCGGGTAAGTAGGTCAGGCAGTTCCCTTAACATGTTGTTAATGGCTGTGATGCCGCCTCTCTCTTGTACAGCAGAGGCCTTGGACACCAAGGAGGGTGGAAGCTCTTGGCCACTAGTATCCTCCAGAGCAGCAGGTAGGTTCAAGGAGGCCAAAACACTAAACATTCCAAATGTTTTATTTCACTACTGGTGGCTGATAAAGTTTTGATTGAAGAGAAATTGTAGTGATTTTTCATCAATTATGTATATGGTAGTGATGGGTCGGTACCACTTTTTCAAAGTCGGTACCGGTACCACTTCCTAGCCAAAATCAATTAAAAATTCTCGTTTCCGGTACCTTCGGTACCTTATTTTAATATTTTAGGATAGGTTACTTAATTTTTTATTATAAAAAAAAATACCTATCCATATTTCAATATTACATTATTTTGCATTAGTATGGGTTGGTCATAAATCATGAGCATCACTCACAGACTTCATCATCGTCTCCCGCGATCGCGACAAAATCATGGACATCTCCCGTGGCTGCGTAGACAACATCATGAACTCCCGCGGTCACAGAAACGTCATCGTCATCTTGCGCGAACGCGGCAATATATGTAATTTTCTGGCATTATCGGCGACGGGTTCCGGTAGACATTTCACCATCGGTTCTCAGTCCGGTTCTTTAGTCAAGAACCGGCGAAACCGACATTTGACATGAAGTACCGACCCATCATGTTCTACATAAACACCAAATATCATAGCTATCTAAAAACTAACTCATTCCAAATTGTTTGAACATTAAAAGCAAACTTAACATATAACAAATGGAATTCAAAATATTTTACTTATTTGACATAATGTATGTAACCTCCGCTTGATTGAACATTAACCCTTCATGGACGAGCAGGTTATGTGATCAAAATTTATAAAATAAAAATGAATGACTTAAGAGATCTTGGTACAAAGCATCAGAGGTAGGCCTAAACAGTAACTTAGACCATTTACACCCGCCAAACTATTATTGCAAAAGGCAAAACAAACTTGGAGGTTACACCCGTCATCTGACCTTTAGCTTATTTATAAAGTTAGCTTATTTTTATGTTTAGTTTTTGTACAAGAATGGACCTTTGTTTACCTGTTGAGCAGTTGAGTAGCATCTCGCAGCTTGGCTACCTCACTATTGACCAGTTCACTCTTGTGATTCTCATAAGCTGTCAGAGCTTGGTGGACAGCCATCGGGACCAGCTGCTCAAACAAGTCTGCATAACATCAAACACAATAGAAATCTCTTTGCCAAGTGTTGCAATGTGTGATTTTAACAAAGTTTCAGATGGTTATTTACACACAAATGGGTCTTGATTGAATTGAGGTACTGACCAGTTTTAAACTAGATTACCAATGGATTGAGAGGGGCTGGAGATATTAATATGTTGTTAATTAGGACATACCTGAGTTATTACAAATTTTAGGATGTAACTCCCAACCTATCTTTTATTCATGCAAAATGACAGAAGTAGTAGCCTAGTAAAACTTTGAAATTTGCTAACTGTTAGTAAACATTTTTGTTACATTAAAAATTTAGTAGGCCTATCACAATTAAATTAGAATAAAATTAAAATCAATTACCTAGACAAACATAAGTTCAAATTGGATTAAGATATGTTGGGTTGGCATGGATTGACAATCTGCTAAGCATTAATTTGATATGTTATTCCTCAGAAAATTGTTAAGTTGAATACAGACTTCTTAAAATTAGTCCATAGTTGAATGTAACCAGAAGTATTTTTGTCCTTATTTGATCTTTGCCAAAGTTGGACAGTATACCTTTGAAGTTGCTGGAGAGTTTAGGTGGCACTGATTGAGCTTTAGCCAAAGGCGCTCGTCCAATAGGAGTCAGAGACTTGGCATCTGGGATTCTTTCATGGTAGATAAAATCGTTATCCTTGAGAGCTTCTTTGAGATGACGTTCAGCCTTGGCAATAATATCTGCGGTGACGCCGGGTTTGCCAGATCGAGTTTGAGCAGCTTTCAGATATTCTATGGCACTCTGAAACCATTTCACACTCTTAGACAAGAATAAAACCCGTGAAGAACTGTAGGCTCCATCTTATATCAAAATCTACCACTCCAGTCTCCATAAGTATTTTAGAGGAATGTGTAACCATGTATTTAGCTATATTTGTCTCAGACAAAAACTCAGCCAGTGCATTATATAAATGTACCACTGTGCTGACTCCCAGGATTTTCGTGAAACCCTAAAATAAAACTTAACAATTTATTAGTAAGAATTTGGAAAGTTGTGGGATGCATGATAATTCTTGCATTGGAAACATTGACTCGAGCAAGGCACAAATACAAAATCATTTTAAAACAAAAGTCTACTTCCATTTTTTTTCTCTCTGGCATAATATTATTCTAAAAAGCTGAGAGTAAAGTTATTACGAAGAAGTTAATATATTTTATAACAAAACTTAACTAAACTTGTACCTGCAATCTGGCAATTTCCTCTCCCACAGCTTTGTTGGATTTACATACTAAACTTTGAAAGAACTCTGCCACTCCATGAAACATGGCTTGTTTACCTGCCACCTAAAAGGTAAAAAATAAAAATACAAAAACACAATATTTTTGTAGCAAACTGCAACAATTTTGATTAACTTATTTATTCTCCATAAGAATAAAATAAGGATTTTCAATTTACAGCTTTTTAAAATTCTCTCCATAACCATTTGGCATACAACACCATTTCCAAGATACTGTGTAATTTTATTTTACTAGCCCTACAAAATCGTTTGAAAATTAATTGCGAAATGTTACTGTATGTTTTGAGTGTAAAAAATGGGCAAAACATATTTTCACTCCATAAAACCCCTTTTCAATAGTCTGATCATGCTGGTTCGTGAACTCGTTCAAAGAACTGTAGGTGTACACATTTGTATAAAATTTCACCACAATCGGATGATTTGTACACAAGTTAGCGTGCTAAAGGTCAGACATATAAATATATATTATGAATTTGAAGAATGGACTTTGGGGACATCAAAAAGTAAAGCAGGACTAGGTCTTACCATGAGATCCAAGGTAATAGCTTATCCCTACATGAGAAATTTGCTGAAACTATTTCATAATTCAGTAGAGTCTCCATTATCCCAAGTTTGGCTATCCAACCCTCCATTAACAATCGAGAACCAATCAATCGCTTCCTGATTATTTGTGGTACATTGAGACAACACCTTTTTCCAGTCTTGTCTGTACTCTCAATTAATTTAACTGGACATGTAATGGTTTGACAGGTCTGTTTTAAGCAAGCGTCAGATAAATTCTCCTCTATAATCGTAATTGCATGTGTCTACTAATCATTGCAAACAAACTCTCTTTAAACGTTACAAACTTTAGTGGGCCTACATGTTATTTAACAAATCTTCTTTATGTTTTGACCTCCGATGAAAATAAATCATTTAAACATTTTGTACTCCATATGAGCATTGGATGTTCGAAACAAATCACTGATTCTCCATTTCAATGTTTAAGTGCTTACAAAATATAAAACTTACGATTGGTATCCACTCCTTATCCCAAAGAGGACGGACATTTTCTTTCTGGAGAAGTTTAAGTGCATCTGCATACAATTCTTCAGCTTGGTTAGCTAGCTTTGCTGTTAGAGCATCCTTTAAATTATCTGCAAGTAAAAGAAAGATATATAGAACAAACTATACTTCATTACCAAGGTCTGAAGTGACTCAAGCTCCTCAAGTTTGACAACCGAGGACGAAAATTCTACACAAAATCATCAAGGTCACTTGCACATCATTTTCTTAGGATGGGCAAACATGTATCTTGTTCTAGGGGTCGATGAAACGGCTCAACCCCTTAATCGATTTGAAAAGAAAATGCTTTAAAATATTTTTAATGCTGCATACAGGCTGGAATTCTTTAAAAAAGTGTTTACAAAATTATTTGTCTCTAAAATCTTAAAGTGGATTTTAAACTAATCAAAACAACAAACAAAATGTAATTTTGTTTAAGGTGGAGGACCTGAATGGAAAAGAGTACATCTGGCATATCAAACACAAAATAGCCTACTTTACACTATCCAAAAAAGTTACAATATTTCAGTGCCACTGACAGAATTTTTTAACCATTATGGTTTGAGTTGGAAGAGAGTCTTCAGGCCAGAAAGATGATCAACACATTTTCAATAATAAATAATGTAGGTGCAAAAGTATATTCACCATTAGGCTAAGTATGATTTTAAAACATATACAGTACTTGCCAAAGTCGATTTTTGACACCTTTCTAACAGTCGATCTTATAGTTATGGAGGTTAATTTAGTTATATTATATTTAGGGATGGTCAAGTCTCGAAATTTCGGGAAATTTTCGGAAATTTTAAATCTCGTTACACGAGACGAGATTTCTTTTTGGCCGAGATTTTTATCGAGACGAGAATAAAAAAAAAAAAAAAAATTAAAAACGCCTGCAGAAAGTCAATGCAATACCCGCAATACAGGAGCGTGTTGTAGTTGCGTTTCCTTTGCGAAGGCGTTCTTATTTAATTAATTCTTTAAATGTAAATATTACTTTAATTATTTTAATAATATTACTTTAATAACATTTGAGAAGTTTTGTTAAGTGTAAGCAGTGTGAGGAATGTTTTATTACTATAAAAAGTCAAAACAAGTAACTATTTTATAAAAATTAATATTGCTTTTATTTTATGATAAGTTGAACTCTATCCTAACTGATATCACTATGTTTCCTAATCGTAGGCATTTTTAATAAGTTAGGCGTGATTAATAAAAAAATGTTATGCTGATGTTTTTTTAATAAAAGATTGTAAATATTCTTGCCTATTATCATTATTTTTGTATTTAAACAGTCATCTAACAATGTTACAAAATCAGGTAAAAATTTTGAACGTGCATTTCCCGTTGTGTATGAGAAGGGAAATCCCATCTCGATCTCGTCTCGAAATTTTATGAGAAATAAAAAATCTCGTCTCGTCTCGTCTCGAACTAAAAATCCAATCTCGTCCATCCCTAATTATATTAATATAGTTTGTTATTTTAACACTATTTTGATTTCCCTATACATTAAATAATAACAAAACCTCTAATTTTGTGACAACACAAAAATGACATGATAGATTAATTGGGGTTTAGGTTTGTTACAAACTCACCGTGAATAGCCTTGTGCACAAAGATTTCCTGAGCCTGAGCCAACATGAGAGAAGACAGTGCTGCCAATGTGTCGGGGTTAAGGTCGGGAGTCGGGTCTTGTTGCAGTGCTGCCATAACATTTCCCTTAAGGTGGCTAAATATACCTGCCGATTGCTGGAACAAGGAAACAAATAAGTGACAGGCTACTTAATGTAGACGTTTAAATAATTCCGTTTCGCTTCTTCTTTAGAAGCTATCTTTTTAGTTGATGAAATTTGGATCAAATATTTCATCCGTTACCACAGGGATTATTCATCGACTATTCTTTTTAGGTATTTACTAATCTTAAGAACACAAAAATTGGAATTCTTGTAAAACATGTTTTTTTTGTGAACTAACACCTGTGGGTGGCATGTGAAAGTACACTAAACTCAACAACTTTTAAGTCATAAAAACATACAAATTTTACAAGGTAGTTAAAACATCAATACTGAATTAGTTAAATGTAAGATAAAGTGCTGCACGTTACTCCGTCAAAGGATTCAGAATACAATGAGTCTAAACTGTTAGAAGTAGCGCAGAGATATACGATATAGGCCTACAGGTATGAGGAGTTGCCAATTGTGAAGTAAATCCACCGACATAGGTTTTAAACCTAAGCTGGTTATTGTTTTTTGTGTGTAAAATGTATCTGTGTTTGTACATTGTATAGAAAAAATAATAAAGATTTCTTGACAAAAATAAAAAAAAACTTTTTCAACATATGGTAGCCTAGTATACAGCGCACAAAAATAAAGGAAAAGTACTGTTAAGTGCATCAGCCTAAAGGTTGACATGTATCGTTCCACAACAGTCCAGGGCGGAAAAACTGGTTGCCTTAACACATTTACTACAATGTATACTAAACAGAAACAGCATTCAATCTCCACACTATTATACTTGATAATCCACAGATAGTGTGGAATAAAACAAAAGGTGGTAACTGAAGACGAGATAAACGAGAACGAGGCCTTTGTAGATCCAAAGCCTAAAGTTCTAAGCTTAACCCCAGGTTGCAATAAATGTCAGGTAGGACAGCTACTTTTGTTAAGTTACTTTGTTGCTCTTATGACAGATCTTATATTTATTAATGATTTGCTTAACACTTTAACAGTAGCCTACATTGTATAAATGACAGGAAATATTGTCAATGGTTAAATCTAAGACACTTAAAAATAAGTTAGGCCTACATAAGTTTTTACCTAAAAAAAACTAAACCACAAATATAGAGGGGAAAAATACCCTGCTTAAAAATTAAGCTAGCTGGAGTGGTTAGGTTTATTCATACCCAATTACAGCAGCCCATCTAAATAATCTGCCAATAAAAAAAATATAACCTTGAGCCACTTTTTATAGGGAAAGTCTAATCATTAAAGGATTTTCTAGCATAGGCATAATTATAGGCTATGTTTTGGTAGGCTAAGTTATTTAAGATTTTTGGACCAATGTATTATGGTGATAACTGGAATATTTGTAAATTGTGAGTTACAGGGTTAATCAAATTTGTATTTCTGATATTGTAGTAAATATTGTTTGGGTCTCTTTAAAAGTGGAAAGGTGTACCCAGCATGCTCTTTCCAAAATGTAGTAATCATAAAATTAAGAACTTGAACTTTTTTAAACATCTTTTTACAAAAGGTTCTAAAAGAAAATTTGCCAAACATTTGTATTGCTTTTTTGTAAATTTAGGAGAGCTATCCCAGATCCAGATACCAAATGCCTTCATGTTGTTAGCCTCCGGATCACTGGTAAAGTAATAAATAATGGTTTAAATACCTTATACTGTCTAAAGTGATCCTTTGTAGTCTATGTAGGCTACTGCAGTTTCATTCCTGAGTCTAGACCTGCCCTCCGTGCGTAACGTGCTTCCCGGTACCGTGTTTCGTAATGTTTATGTGTTATGTTCGTGTGTTCGTCCGTGTTTTATGTATATATGACCTTGATGGATTTTTACCATGACGACTTCCTATGGAATGAAGTTTTGATGTCATTACAAGCCTGATGAAGTTCCCCCGGGAATGAAACTGCAGTAGCCTACATAGACTACAAAGGATCACTTTTGACAGTATAAGGTATTTAAACCATTATTTATTACCAAATGGCAATTGTGAGAAATACACATAATATATTATAAGTTTTGTTTCCAGATTTTAAAATGAGTTTTATACTGGTTAGTATACTCCATCATATTTATTTGATTTAACAGAGTACAGTAGATTATTAAGTTACCTGGAAAAGTTTGGCGGCCAGTTTGAGTCCTTCGTCACTATCCATACTCTGAGAGGCAGCAACGGAACTCTGCAAGGCTGCGATGTTGAATAACACACAAACTCGCTCATAGCCAAGCTGGGATATGGCTGAAACATTAGGAATATTGTAGGGCGTATGGATAACAAACAAGTTGAAATAACCCCGTCACAGCAAAACTGCAGCCTTAGAGAATGTCCACTTGCCTAATTGGATTATCAATAAAATATTTTCTAACAATGTCAGATTTATTTCCGATTTAAATAACATTAAGTTTAGTGAGTACTCATGCTTGATACAACTGGGAATGTAATAACAAGTTAGTGTTTTAGTGAAATGTTAATAGCTTAAGATGAAATAAATAAATTTGCCAAATTTGATATGAATACATTCATAAACAAGCAAACTACAAAAGTTTACTTAAGAAGAAGATGGGAATTTTAAATTTTCAGTTTTTTTATTTCCTCTGTTGCCATTAAGCATAGGCCTACAGTAACGCCTCAATATACAATATTTTTTTTCAACTCTACAAAATGGTTTGAAAAGAAATCGTCAATTTTGTGTTTCGAGTCTGAAAAATGGAAAAACCCCATGTTAACGCCATAAAGCCCCCTAATCATACTAATATAAGCATACTAGTCCACAAATTTGTTTGAATAATCGTAGGTTTAAAATTTAGTACCAAATATAATTAAAATCGGAAGATTTTTATTTGAGTTATCGTGGTAACGTATCGACACACACGCATATGTAATGTATACATATACCGGTATTTATCAAAATATTGGTCCCGAGGTCTAAGTCTTACCATGAGACCTACATTAATAGCTTATTTCCTTATGGAAAACTGACTAAAAGTGGTTTGATATTATAATGAAATTTATAAAAAATGTGAACGATAAGGCAATAGAATAGTTTAACAGACTAAATGAAATTAACAGAGTTTTCACGGTGTTTCCACTAAAATATTTGTTTTACGCTTCTATCTAGAAGTCACTGTTTTACCTCCTGCAACGTCGATGACCTGAATGTCTGGATAGAATGTGTCAAAAACTAAAAATACTATTAACACACTATTAATGCAAGATGGTGTTAAGCCTAGGTTTGGTCCAATGCATAGAAGTAATCATCGACCGAATACAACAGCCAATTGAGAAGCCAAGCTTTCACACATTCTTGGAAATCGCACGTCTTAAAACTTTGCGGGAGATCGTTGAACATCTCCAGAGCCCTAATCCAGAAACAAGTCTTGTGTTTTGGTCAGCCTGCAGTAAGGTAAGTGGAGCTAGTCCCTGTTACAAAGGTTGTGGAGTGGTGGGATTCCATTGTGCACGTTATTACTGACTGAAGATGGTGAGGATTAAGACTCCTGAAGATTGGCTTGCAGTGGTTGCTAAAAAGAATTATCTTTCCATTATTGGCATTAGCAGTTGTTTTGATAAAGGAAAAGAGAAAATCAACCTGTTTAGTTTCGCACCGTATTATTATTTAAAAACTTTTTATCATTTTAAAGACTTATTTTATTTCATCTTATATCTTGTTAAATACACAAAATTTTACATTACAATAGTAAAACCAAAATAAAACAACCATCAACCGCATTACTTGTTCCATATGCCTTAAATACTTACTGAGGCTTGTCCTGCCACCAAACAATCCAGATCCTTTACTGAAGGCATCCTTCCATTTGAATGGAATTTGGAGTTCTCCTGGTGGTATTTTACTTTCTAGGGCAATCAGTTGATCGTAATAGCTGTAACAAGATCAAACGAATGATCAAAGCTATAAAAAGTCTAGAAATGATACAATAGTCAATTAGAAAATCTAGAACCAGCTGTTCCTTCAGTTAGCCTAACAAGTAGGACAGAGGAGAATGAAAACTATTAGGCTAGGATTATACTAGGACGCTGGCGTCCGGGATGCTGGCGTCCGAGAGGCTAGCGTCCCAAGTCGAGCCTAAAATGACGTGATTTGTGTTGGGATGCTAGCCTCTCGGACGGCCATTTTATTTCAATGTTTTGTCACTTTTTGTTTATATCTATTTAAATAACATTAGGTTTAACGAGTACCCAGATTTGCTGCTTTAAGGAGGCTAATATTGTGTGTTTTTAGTAAAATATTAATAGCTTAGTATGAAACAAATTGGCCAAGTTTGATCAAAATATATCCATACACAAGTAAATTCCAACAGTTAAAAATATTTTCTATAAGAATAACATGGGAATTTTAAATTTACACTTATTTGAATTTTATACGTAACTAATAACCGTACAAAAACACTTAAATATACTTAATTATATGCTTTTAAGCTAATTAAAATTGCCTAGAGAGAAATATGACAAAACCTCCTCTTTACCCCATAAAACCCCGTTCCCAAGGAGGCACAAAATCGAGCGTCCAATGGCTTTTTTAGCATCCGACGCTGGCATCCCTAGTCTAATCGCCCCCATTTGATTTAATGCCCCACTAGCGTCCCGGACGCCGGCCTCCCAGACGCCAGCGTCCTAGTATAATCCTAGCCTTACACAAAGAAAGAAAGAGTATTTATGAAGTCATTTAAAAAATTTAAATACCGGTATGTGTAGTTTTTGAACTAGTACTTTGGGAAAACTAAGAATAAGTGCAGTTAACTTTGTTACTCAGTTTTCTTTATAACATATATGCTGAATAGAAGTACAAACAAACAAAGAGTAAAAACAACTTTCTTGATATTGCAATAAATAAATATCTCTGTAACTTGTCTGTTAAGATATAAAACATAGAAAATGAATAAAACACAAAACCCACTGATACTGTCATAACCATCCTATCTGTTCCCTGTAATTTGTGTAATCATGTGTAAATACAACATGATCACTAAAGGTCGATTCACACATATCAGTCCAGTCACAGTTACGTTACATTCCAGTCACAGTTGCATTTGCAGTTCTTCAGTCAACTTCCAGTCAGTCTTCTGTCTCTAATATTTGAAACAGTGATGTTACAGTTACAATTTTTAAATTAAAACCCCAAATTCCATCAAATTTTCATCGTCCATCTTTTTGATTGTTAGAAACAGTACTCAAAACATAAACACAATCATTTTAATAACAAAAACACTATTTTCTAACCTCAAACACGTCCGTCAGGCGTTCGAACAATAAAAAAAATATCAATGGAAAGAAATCTGAAATTGACTGACAGAGCGACTGACTGCGCAGGATGAGTGTAGATATCGCAATAGAAAATCCATTAAAGAATATTTTTGGGGACTGTAACATGACTGATACGTCTGAACTGTGACGTGTCGTAACTGATATGTGTGAATCGACCTTTAGTCTAACAAGTAACAATTACACTAAACTTATTCTTAAATAGATTAATCCTGGTACATCCGTTAACCTGGGGATATAGTTAAAAAAATAAAAAGGATGTTTGAAACAATGATTTATTTAACAATCCTGATTTTTGAAAAAGAAACCTCAAGCACACTTAACAAGGAATATTAGCAGTAAAGTGATAACCTAAAAACTTTATTTAAAAAAAACATTTTTATGTTGTCAACTTTTTACCATACGAAAAAAAAACAGCTATGGTAATAACTAATTCGGTATTATGAGGATAGGCTAGTAAAGTAATATAGGACACAAAAGCCTAGGTTCCAAGAAATTTTTGTAAGATTATATTCTCATATCTGAAGAAATGTTCGTGAAAATGCGATCAGTGAAATATTCTAATTTTGCATAGTGTTGCGCATTAATGTTTATTGTGCCAGGATTAGAGTAGTAAAATACCCAGGTAATTAAGATTATTCGGCTACAAGCTACACATGACTTTTAGTACAAGGGTTGTCCGTAAATTAAGGTCTCCACCGTGCTACAAGTGATAAGCAAGCTAGTTAAAATTGAAGGTCAAAGTTGTGTTCCTTACTTTATCCACTACTATTTTTAACTATTCTCACCCATATGGGACGATTTATTGTCATAGGTAAAGTCTTAAAAATAATAACCATCCACTATTTAGTGAATGGGTATTTTTGCGGGTTTCTTGAGTTTTTAATTCACCGTTTATCACAAATAATTATACCCTCCCAACCAACAAATAACCATAATTTTTAACTTATTTTGACATGACAAATCTAATAAACTATGCAAAACACAACTAGTTTTTATGCTTTTAATAAATAACCAATTTTTTGGATATTTACCAAGCTTGGGGCAAATACTCATTTATAAATAAATTACAAACTTGGTATTCACCCGGCCCGAATCATTAGCCAGGATGGACTCTTTCCCATTCAGGGATAAGCCTGTTATCCTAATAAAAATCCTTAATTGTAGGCTATGTTTGCTTACAAATAACTTTATCAAGCAATGTTTAAGTAACTAACTCGAATTAACACTTATTAATTTTTATGATTTGAGAAGACTGTCTGTTCTATCCAACAAAATGATATACAGTTAGACAGGGATAATCTCCAATAACTCAAGAGGAAAATGTTTGACTCATAGATGATTAGTTCAATATAGGCCTATCTTACAAGTCATAAAGCAAACAGTATGCAAATTTAGTAAGCCTAATTATTATCGTTATTTTTAAATTTTGAGACATTTTATCTTATTTTATCTCATCTTGCAGACGTCAATGTCATCAGAGATAGACTGCATCCATCGTAGAGATTGATGGTCTCAGTTTAAATAAAAGTTAACATAAACGGAGGCATAAAAGCAACATAAAACAAATTTTGTCAAAATGAAGAAAAAAAATCTTTTCAATATAGTCCGAAAAAGAACTCCCTAGTTTAAAGATGTATTTATTTATTGTACAATATACAAGTTACAATGACTGATTCATTAAATGAAAGGTAATGAAATAAAAGTTTTTTAACACTAGTACACCTCAATATCCGAACCATTTGTAGCCCTGCAGATATCCAAGTGATTTTTACTCATTCTTATCATTATTTTTTTATTATTTGTTATTATCAAAACTACGCTAAAGGTCAAAAAGGTGCAGCAAACTTATTGCCAACTTATAAAACTAAAACTTACAAGTAATATTCTACAGCACCAAAGTATTATTACTCATCCATTTTTAAAAACTAATACTATCGTGAGGTATTTTTAAAACTAGGGAGTTCTTTTTCGGACACCCGGTACATGCATCACAGGAATTGAAATTATCTTTTATAAGGGTGAAAAAAGAATCAGAGTCAAGGTGCTGTGAATGTTTCCCTGTTGATGTGGTCCGCTTATTTTGATGAAAGAAATAGACTAAATTAAAAGTGCTTCATTCTGGCTTATTTCAAAGTATAAATATAAGGCTGACTCCGTTATGACTTGGTTGTTAAATTTGAGTTTTTTGGGAATGAGATACTATAAATGCTGTAATGATTAAAGATAAATTACCGTAGTTAATAAGTTGCTGGTAATTGTGAAATCCTACTTTACACATCAAAACGGCACTAATTGCTGTTGATTGTATTTTGAAATAGTAATTTATACAACACTTGTTTGTTTTGTAATCATGGCCAAAGTCGTGATTTATAATAAACTTTTGGTTGGACACCATCTTAGAAATTTAAGTTTCAAATTTTCACTTTGAGTCTGGATGACTTAGATTATCATCGAGGCTATAAAGTAGGGGGAAATTTATTGAATAGGAACAGAAGAACTTTGTCCCACCTTTGCTTAATACAAAGTTCAACTGATCACTGTAAATTTGAATGAACAGCAAAATCTCCATCCAAATTAAAGACACAAACCTTGTACAAAGTGGAGTAGGAGAGGCAGTAGGGAGGCTATGATAAAATCATTAAAACCCACGGGTAGGCCTAGAAACTATATCGGTTACAATTTCAATTGTTACAAAATTTAACTACACAATGGTGAACAGGTTAAAAATGGTTTCTTCAAGTTGAAGCAAAAGTTAACTCATATCATAAACTTCGAAAACAAGGTTAATCTTATTGTTGGGTTCAGTGCATATGCGAAATTATTACAGCCACTGTCAGCATGATGTTACAGTACTTGATGGTTGTTTTGTTTTTCTTTGTCAAATTAGTTTTTTTATGTTCAATCGCCTGGTTCACATGGCATTAGTTTGCTTACCGGTAACTTATAAATAAGTTTACTGACATGTTTTAGCAGACATCATCAAATGATGTTCATGATGATCATGATTGATCATTTTGGAATATGATTTGCAACCATAGGTCTATGTGTTAGCGATGGACGTCAGACGGGTCCCAACATTTTGGGAAATGTTTGGGAAAAATATATCTCTGAAAAGTAGTGATGTGGGCCGGGTAAATACCCAGTGGGTAGGTAAATATAAATTGGGTTTTTACCCGGGTATTTACCCCAGGCCCGGGTAAATACCCAAAAACTGGGTATTTATAATTTTTATTAAAGTTAGATAAGATTGAGATGTTTTATTGCAATTATTACCCTGTGAGAATAGTAAAATGATGATAAAATGTGTTAAACAAAATTTCATATGGTCACTACTAGTATTTTACTTCTCGGTATAATCGTCATAAATACCCAGGTCTGAGCATAAAGCATAAATCGGCATAAATACCCTGGTCGCATGGTTGCACTAGTCCTGACTATTTATGATTTTTTTTATTTTCCAATGATATATGAATTTATTTTATTGAAAGTGAAGAAAAATAACTTGTAAAGCAATAATTATTATTTAGAAAGAAAGGAAAATTTTACCTAGAATTTATAATTATAATAGAATTATAAACAACTTAAGGAAATAATTAAAATTCAATCTGTAGGATGGCAGGGTTTCAGGGCATAAAATAACATGTTAACTGGGCGACACAAGTGTCACCCAGTCCTGAGATTTTGTCGCCCAGTGACTATGAGTGATGCCGGCATATTTTTTTTAATGATCCACATTTTAAATTTATCGGAATTTAAAAAGGACATTATGTAAATATTTTAAAGTTGGGTATTGAGCTATGATTTTGGCCCAAGAGGTTAGGCTATGAAGTTTGCCTTGGCCTGTTACAACATTCTAGAATACGTAATTAAGTGAGATTAAATGGACTATTTGCAAGCAAATATAATAGAAAAATTCATTAAAATATGCGTAGAAATGTGTCATTTTCACTTTAATTTATGCAAAAATTCCAGGGGGAACCCTCGGACCCCCTTTTTGATGGGGGTATTCCCCCAAACCCCCCGGTAAGTCCGGCGCCTCTGTCGCCCAGTGGAAATCCCTTAAAATATGCTCTGCAGGGTTTAGTAATATTTTTGTTCTAGATCTTTTGTTGGTAGCAATGGTATGAAAAAAACTAATTTCATAATCTTGTGATACAAAACATTTGAATCTATAGCACAATAAATCTTTCAAAATTATATTAAGTTAGACCAAAAAACAGGAGATACATTTTTTTAGTAGGTTTATCCAAATATATTATTGTTTCCAACCAAACGGTAACACAGAAAAGTTTAATTATTTTATTATTCTGCCTTTACTTTATCTTATTAAGCCATGTTCTTCTTTATAGTTTTTCAGCACAGTGGTTGTAACTTGTAAAAGTTTTTTTCAACTTTGTACATAATAACATTTCAAGGTAATTTGAAAAATATTTAATAACAATAACATTATAAAGAGTTTTACTCTTTTGGAGTATTCTAAAATGTTATACACAATCATTTATTGCTTATAAAACTATTCTTGGCAAGTTCAACTGTTTTTATTGCAACATAAATACCCAACAATTCCTGGATATTTATAAATTAAAATAATTTTTTATTTAATTGGTTATAAATTTATAAAATGATACAAATTAAAATAGCCACAGCCTTTTTTAATATACTATTTTTTTTCTGTATTATATTAAGTTAATTTTAACTGATGTTACTCGATTTAAGACACGAAACCCCATGCTTATTTAGAAACTTTATGTAGGCCTATTATTTTTTTTTTGTGCTAAATCATTAAATAAAAGGTACTAGCAACGCTTCAAGTTACTGTAAAAGGTGTTACAGACCATCCTAATTTATCATGTAATGATAACAATAACATTAGGGGTAAATATAAATGAATTTCATAAATACCCAAAATACCCGGGTATTTATGGATTTTGGGTATTTACCCGGGTAAATACCCAGGGTATTTACCCCGAGTTTTAAATACCCGGGTATTTTACATCACTACTGAAAAGGCAAGATTACATTTAATTCAGGATGTTTCAATAGCGGTCTTGCCACAAACAAAAGTGACAATGATTTCTCCGGGAATGTGGAAGATAATCACGGTTTCACAGATAAGTTATTGTGTAAGATTGTCAAATGCCAGAATCAATGCAATAACTTAGGGTATTTTTTCAAATGATTCATACCCAAGGGGGGGGGGGGGGCGGCAAATATTTTTCAGACCCATAAGTTAATGTGACGTCACTTGCAAACCAAGGGCCTGCCTAGAGTATAATATGGTGATTGTAGCTCAATTAGTAACACAACAGGTAGTAAAACCCAGATAGCAAATGTCGTAGTTTACGTACCTACCAAATGCCGCCTCTAATAGTTTATCAGTATATATAGCCTGTTTCATATTAAGGTGAGGATAACCCTATCTGAATGGACGGTACAAAAGGCTTGGAGTAAATCCTGTGGTTAAAATATTGCTTAAGTTACTTATTTTCTTCATTAACTTACCGTACCTAAGTTACTGCAATAAGTTATGATCAATGACAGTTGGCCTAGCAATTTTTTTATTTAAGCTTAGCCTAAGTTAAAGGCAGCAACTAGGCCTAGGCCTATTCCACATAAAAAGGGTACCGTACCGGTAACTTAAACATTAACACGTTCGCTGCTGAGCGCTGGATGCCGGGACGGCGCCAGGAGCTGAACTAGCGCTCGCCGCTGCGTAACATTGCCACTAATTTACCTAATTGCAGTAAAAACAACAGTAGTTATACTGGATAGCAATGGTCTGCAATAAAACTGGCTTTGGACATAGTACTAAAAGATTCTGATAGATAGCAGCACTACCCAGGTTGCAGTCGGTAAAGAAGTGTCGCTATCTAGCAGAAAAGAGATGGGACAAAGCCCTGTTCTATACGACCCTGGTGGTGATTTTGGGAAACTATATTTTTTATTGTCAGAAAAGTACGTCCCCACGAGCTGCAAAGAAAAATAGGACGTTCGTGACGAGCTGGCTGATCCATGGAAACATTAACAACATTGATAGGCCTAGGCTACATGGTTTGGCAAAGTAGCCTAGAGAAACGAGGTTTGACAGGGAAAGGCCATTTGACCTGAATGTTTTAAGTTAATGCATTGGAAAGTTGGGTTGTTAAATTGCTTCACACAATCTTGAAGTTATTAATATTACTAAGTCTCACCCCTCCAGAGGTTATAGGTTGTGATTGTGAAACCCTGTCTTTACAACTTTACAGGGCCTAAATGTTGTATTAATTAAGGAAGCAAATAAGGGTGTAAATAGCCTATAAAAGATTTACAAATTATCATTAGATGCCAAGGCTCAAAAATAAATAATTCTTTTCCAACAAAGAATGACACATACCTGTATATAACCTCCAAAGAACTTTCGTATTTTTCATAGGCTTTCCAAACTGCATTCTTCCTAAGTTTACTTAACTCATTCACTTGTTCAGTATAGTCTTGAGCCTTTTGCGACGTACTATAGATTATGTTAATGGTATTTTTTAAAGGTTGGACGACATCAACATCAGTAGGTTTCTTTAACGGAACTGATATGAGCTCCGCCATTTTGTTCAAGAAATAATATTAACTTAAATTGAAGAATTGAAGATTTAAGTTTAATGAAAGGAATCGTATGAGACCAAAGCAGAATGACTAAATTGAACTTAGACAATCAGGTGATTCTACCCTACCGGGTAAATTTTTTCGATGATAATAATCATGGCTGCCTTGTATACAGTAAAAGAGCAATTCTAAAGATATGTGACATCTTAATAAATTAAGCAATGATTTTAAAATGAAACCTTAAACACAATTTCGCAGACTGTTTAAATCAATGCTTATAAGATAAAGACAGGACTATGCCACTCTACTTGTTATATTATTTAAACATTGTAATAATCAATTATCTATATAAATTGATCTTTACGAAGTACCTTACCTATAAACGATTGGATATGATTCAAAAACAGCGAAATCGCACATGTTCAGGGTGAGGGTGAGGCAGTAAAGGCACAATTTTCAAAAATAAAATAATTTATTTAGAAATAAAAGGATGTATTATTTTAACATAAATCTTAAGTACACGTGTGTAAATTAATGTTTTACACTTTTAAAAATATATTTTTTGAATAGTGTCCAAAAAAAGCGTCCTTGGTATTTTACACACATTGTTGAATGCTGAGATGAAATCAAATGGCGTATTGTAGCATTTTGCTGTTTCTGCAATCGTTTTGTAACTCGTTGTCGTGCTAGAAGTGGCTTCAAAAGTTATTAACCCAAAGGAGGATAGCTATCCTTGATGACATGGGAGCCTGTGGCGCTAGACTGAACTCAACGTTAGTATAGTTCGTTGAACTCAACACATAGAAACCGCACTGAGCACAAACGACAAACCACATTATCCGTGTTTTTTTTTAACTATGCTTTTATAGCAAACGCACGTTAAGCTCTCGTCCAATGCTCCATGGCTACTACTGACTGAAATTTGCACTTGTCGTGGAGTCGTGACCTTAAGTTAAATTCCCCCGTTCGCTCCTAACCCCCCACACTCCACCATCTGGAGTCGGAATCGTGCCGTTTCGTTTCACTGCCCCACCCTGTATTATATTGCTATTCAATCATGTCGTTAGATTATATTAGATTAGGGGGTTTCACTCTTTACGTTATACACTAATTCAGAGCATTTGAAGATTTTATGACTTATGGCTACAACCATAGATTATTTGTACGATTGAAAACACAGATACTTTTTTGATTGATATTTTTCATAAATACAATAGAGATATGATCAGAGTAAGTAAACAAACGTAAGTAGAAAATCATTCTCATGCGTTGAATTAAGAACCAACCGAACCAATTATGTTTAAAGATACTCTAAGCTTGGCCGTGGTACTATAGTGTTTTACGTAACTTATCAAAAGATTTATAGGTTCACATACCTAACTCACTAGAGGAGTTAATTTGCCAAGAAAGCTCTCTACACAAGGTATGCATAAGTTTTCATTTTCTAATCTATACAATCCAATCCGTGAGGTAGGCGAAGGACTCTGAGGGATTATTAACGTCCCTTCCACCAACGCACACACACTCGCCAGGAGGGCCCTACCTACCCCACGGTGTGTGACCCATGTGAGTGTGTGTAGGTGTGTCTCTGTGTGTAACTCCTTAGAGTCCTTTGCCTCCTCACGGACTGCAATTTATAAATATAACTTCACTTTATATTTAATACATGGTCATTTTGGGAGTTTCCATTGGGGTTTTTTTATATTATCTATAAGCAGGTGTCAACCAATCTTGGAAAAAGTCTGGTCTGATAAATGCATGGTGTGATGGATAAAACTTAAAACTATGTGGATTACAAAGATAAATATCAAAGTAATTATGACTGTGCAGGCCCAGGTTTAGGGTTAAGCTGGCTGTAAACAGCTTTGGTAAACTACTGGGAGGTCTGGGAGTCCTGCTTCCCAGAATAAAAAAAATAATGTGAGTACCTTGTTGAAAACGAGTTTTAACTATTTTGAGTTTGGAATGCTGATTGGAATTTTTTGAGTTTTTTAAGTGCTTTTCAATCAAATAACTAATCAAAACGATATTGTAAACAACATTTGGGAATAAGGTGTCCCTAATAATTTAGCCCTCTGGGCTATAGCCCTGTCAGCACATATTAAAGAGCGGCCTGTGTGAATCTGAATGTAATGTTTGTTTATTAGTGAGTTAAAATATTCCATGAATAGCGAGGGGTAAGAGTAACCTTAGGTTTATATTCCCCCCCCCAACCAACATTTCTGCAATGCAATTATATATAATATTACTATAGCAATTAAATGGAGGATTTATTTACATTTCATCTCTTTATAATATTTTTTAATTTGGGTTCATCCAACAAAGTGATTTTTACTAGAGCATTTTCAGGTTCAGGGGTTCAATTTTCAAGGGAGAAAATCCCATAAATCAATACATATAATGTATAGCTTGGAATTTCTAGTTCCATGTAGCCAACCTTGTAACGAATTCAATCCAATCAGACTGAATTATCAAGTTTTCCTTATCAGAGATCCTGTACCTGCCCATGTGGTGTGCTCTGGTGAACTGGACAAGTTGGTAAGTGCTCTTGATAGTTGTTTCTTCTAATTTATGCTAGACATAATAAATTGTATCACTAATATCAGGTAATAATATATTTGCACTATGATGAAAAATTATTAGTGGTCAATAAAAAAAATAAGGTATAGTAAGTAAAAAAGTACATTAGATAAATTTGTTAGTTTAAGCATGTTGGGGCCTGTTACAAATTTCATGATCTAAAATAGGCAGGATTTTAATTTTTATGAATAATATGACAGAACTCAACTATTAATGGATTTTGATGGCTTTTATATAACTTCCAAGTAGTTTTATTGAAACTTGTTTGTTTTTTGGTGAAATTCCCCTATAAGGAATACGGTATTACTGTAGGTCTCTTTTAGGTCTCATGGTAAGACCTAGATCCGAGACCAATTTATTTTAATTTCTTTTGATGTCCCAGAGGGGAAAAAACAATATATTAGTTAAAACTGACCTTCATATATCACTGATATAAAATCCATTGATGATTGACAGGATTTGAACCTTGACCTATGGGACTAAATGTCCCACACTCTGCCACTAACTGATAGCTACCCCTATTGAGAATAAGTGAACTATTGTATTTTTCTTGCTAATTTTGTTATAATTTGATAAAATTCGGCCAATCTATTTATTTCACACAAATCTTTTATTAACATTTAATTTTTAATATCTTTCCTGTATAACCAAACCATAGTAGGTACTCGTTAAACCTAATGATATTTAAACACAATAGTGTGTCCACATTTAGGATTCAGAACTAGAGCTCACCTAAGATCCTAAAGCGTATCCTAAGATGTGAAGGTGGGACATAAAACATGTTTTTTTTGGAAAAAGGGAATACATCTCTCCTAATTAATTAAATGTTTTTGTAAAAATCCAACCAGATGTATTAAAATTTCCTTAGGCTGCAGATTTGCTGTGGCAGGTTATTTGACTATATAAACCACAAGCTACAACAAAAGTCTTTCTGTCAAAAGTCCACCCCCCCCCCCTTTGGGGAATACACATTTTAGATGTAGTTTGAAGAAGATGTTGAGGGAAAGCTACTAAATAGTAATTGTAAACTTTGACCAGTACTTTAATGTTTAATGTTAATGATTATCTTAAAATATTTCCAAGTAACAAGTTTCTACCAGCTATAACTTTGGCAAAAGAGAATAGAATACTCTATGTCACTAGTCCCAGTGGAAAAGAATTTAAATAGCATGAACTCATATCCTTGTAATTTATTAAATCCAGGGGCGGCTCCAGCACGGATTCTCGGAGGCCGCCATTGCCATAAATTTTTGAATTTTTGAACACCGAGGGGGGTCTGGGGGTAGAAGGGGGTGAATACCCCCCAGGTAAAAGAGGGGTCTGGGGGTCCTCCTCCGGGAAACTTTTGAAAACTAGACCTACAAACTCGCGATTTTAGGCTATTTAGACATATAAAACAGATTTTTAAATTGTAGAATTATGTTTAATTGTAAAAAAATCTAGTTTTACGGTAGGGGGGTTGAAACCCCTGAAACAATAAATTAGTCATGAACATCTCCAGCAGTCGAGGAGACATCATCCTGCTCAATCCCCTCGCGATTGAGGACAAATCCTAAACATCTCCCGCGATTAAAGGAACATTACCATCACCACAAGCAATCGTGGCGTTTGTACCACACTTTGTTTGTTTGACCATATTGTACAATACGGTCCTAAACCATGCATAGTCTTAAATACAACACTTTCTACCACTACTCATAATTCAGAAACATTTAAAATGATTGAAGGTTTACATTTCAGGCTTCGAGTATTTAATTGTAATATAATGTCAATAGCAAATTAACATTAACCTTTGTGCCATCACATTTTGAAGGTCATTATCAGTAACTGATCCTTATCAAAATCAGATATCGCCATCAGTAACCTCACTACTACAGTCAAGTGTCGATTATCTGAAGCCTGGTTTCCCGAAACGTGGCCGAAAAAGCCGATTACCGGCGTTGAGGCGATAGAGAGAGACGACCAGCGGTGACGCCGAGACCATAGAATATGGTCACTGATGTTGCTACAACTGCATGAGACTATCAAACTAGTAAAAAATACTTGTAAACATGAAAAAATGCAATGTTATCTTGCCTACATACTGTACATACAAAGATCGGTCTATTTTTATCAATGCGGTGCATCTTTGAAAGTAGTTTGACAATATTTTTACAGAAAATTATATTGTTTTCAAGTATTGTAGTTTGTAATAATTAATTGTAAATATATTCTTCCCCCATGCCCCCCCCCCTGAGCCGCCCCTGATTAAAACTATAACCAAGAATTGATTTATTCAGTACTTTAATATATTTTAATATTTATTCACCAAACTAGTATTTATAATTTCTCTTTTACACCATTTAAGAAAATTATCATACTACAAAATATATAAACGAGAATATAATTTTCACAATTAATAAACAACATTGCATAAACATTTGAGAAGTGTGATTCTACTTATGTAAAGTAAACATGTGAATCTACTTATTATGAAATAGAAGTTGTACCTAGCTAGTTTTTAATTTGTAGATAGTTTACATAAATAAAATATAACCTAAATATTTCAATTGATTGAATAACATTAATAGAAATTGAATAAACTAAAGATTTTGCTGATTTTACAACATTACTATTGAATTCCACTTGGCTAAATTTATTAGGTATAACATAGTCAATGGTATAACTTAAAATTATGTTGTATCGTGATGCTACAATAGCAGCAAAACTTGTGAATGATTTAGCAAAGAAATTACTGTATAAGGTAGATCTTGTGGGATTAGATCTTTAGGTACTAGGAAAGGATAGATATACTATTAGTTGTATATGGTAGTACTGGTCAGGTACTGTAATGAATTTCATGTCTATTGACATTGGGCATACATAGTTTTAACCACATCTTTCTGAATCTGATATTATTTATCATTGAGAATGGGAATTGCTTTAAATACTACTTACTGACAAGTGACTCTATTTTATTGTTGTGTGAAGTAAATATAGTTTCAGATCATATGTGTGATGTAGGGACATAAGGAAATATTTTCATTTTTGTTTCATAAATATCGAAACAGCATAAACAAGTTAAAAAATTATTGATAATGGTCAATAAAAATGACCAGACCCAGGGCAATTTAAATTTGTATTACCATGAAAAATTAATATACTAAACAAATATCAAACTTTTTATGATTCCAGTCAAATATTTAAGTTGAGATTGTATACTGATAAAAATAGTTTGAAATATCATTGATTAAACATTGAATGATAGTACAAATTATATAAATAATTCTTCAGTTTTAGTGCTTTTGGTGATTACGTAACAATATATACATAGTCTTTCATTTTAATTCAGCATAAACGTCTAAAGATATCCAGTTATTCAATAAATGCTTCTATAGTTTCATATTTTCATTTTATTAATTTATGTTGTGTTATTGGGAGTTTCTACTTCTATACCTCTTTCTAGATAGATTTTTGCATATAAATGCTCAAACTTGAAACAAAGTAAATCATCCTATACATTCATCACATCTTGCTTATGTGTAGGGCCTACTGTAAATAATAATCAATCAAAAGTCAAAAGCTTTAATATGATTTATATATCTATTGATTATCTAATTCCATACATTTGATCCAAAATTTGATCCAATAATTGACCCCAGATTTCATAAATATTTTTAAAATTTTCAGACTTCTGGACACTTGTACCATCGATAAACATATTCCCTTAGTAGATTTATCATCCTTATGGAACAGCTGAAGCCAATTGTATTATTACATAGTTCTGTCCTACACTGTAGAGGGTGTTTTGTTTACTCTTTCTTGTCATTTCAGTAATTTAAAACCTCGTTTAACCAAATAATACCCCCTCCCCCGCAAACCTGAAGACTAAGCAAATTTCCATCTACCTGGCTGGATTTGTACTAGAATATTCCCTGAAAATTGTCAGATTGATCTCCTATTTAAATAAAATTAATTTTAATGAGTACCTAGGTTTGCTGCTACAGGGAAGGTATTGTGGTGTGTTTTTATTGAAATGCTGATAGCTTAGTATGAAATACACAAAATTGCCAAATTTGATTAAAATATATCCATAAACAAGCAAACTACAACAGTTTATTTATTCTTCATAAGAATAACATTTGAGTTTTAAATTTAAAGTTTTTTTTAATTATCTCCGTAACTGTTAGGCATACAAAAATGCTTCAATATACAAAATTATTATTTTTTTTAAGCTCTACAAAATGGTCTGGAGAGAAATTGTGAATTTTTTTGTTTTTAGAGTCAAAAATGGGAAAAACCAATTTTTACCCCATGAAACCCCCCATAAACCCCCGTTCCCATAGCCCGATCATGGTTTGTGAACCCGTTTGAATAAATGTAGTTTTACACGTTTCTACCAAATTTCATCAAAATCGGATCACTTTTGCTCGAGTTATCACGCTAACGGACACACATTTATATATATAAATTATCAACAAAAATTGAATGATAGAGATATAATTGAGTATATGAAATAAATAAATGTATAAATTTTATAAATGTATATAATAAATCAGGAATTTAAAAATTATCATGTAACAACTGTAAAAAGTACTATATTGGTCAAACAGGTCGAACATTCAAAGTCAGGTACAAAGAGCATATACAGGCAATAAGATCAAATAACATGACAACACAAAAATCCTCATACACCGAACATATACTTCAGACCGACCATACATATACTCAGAAATGAATAAAAGCACATTCTAGATGTTGAAAATAAAGGCAAAAAATGAATGCAAAAGAAGACTTAATATTTATACACATCATATTACTGACAAAGACAATTTACTAAACCTAAACTTGACAAAAATTCAAAATCAAAACGTCATATTCAATGAAATTATTAATCTTCAAGAAAAACACCTCCTTCCCTTAACATAAAAATTATCACTTGTTCTTTAAACAAGAAATATCTAATAATGTTTGTAAATAAAATAAATTAATAGGTTAAGTACTTTACTGTGACCATGGCATTAATGGCCAAAAAACGTGCAAGTTATATAAAATAAAATGTTTTTAGGGTACTTTGGTATTTTAATTTACTTAGTAATATATATAGTAATATATAGTATATAGTAATATATATATAGTAATATATAGTATATAGTAATATATATAAATAGTTTTGAAACATGTCGTTTCTTAATTAAAATGAATGTAAAAGGGTACATAATGTTGTTATAATGTTTTCCAATTATTAATATATATATATAATAAATATATATATGAATTTGAACAGAGGGTGTTTTTGGCCTCTGGGAACCTCAAAACAAAAAAGTAAATTGGTCCCGGGTCCAGGTCTTACCATGAGTACTACAGTAATAATTATACTGTAGTAATAATTATGTTAGTGAGTCGGTAGCTCAGTAAGTAGCGTCGCGGACTTCGGGCCCAGGGCAGCGATGTCGTGGGTTCGGATCCTGGTCACTGCCACTAAATTTTATCAGTACAGGTTCACCTTTGTACTGTACCGGCTCACTCCTTGCTTTGCTGTAAACGTTCCACGCACGGGCGCTCAGTCTATGTGGACGGGCAAATGCAAGGTTAAAAGAGGCTGCCAACCTCTTTTTTAAAAAAGAAAAAGAAAAGAAATAGCTTATTCCTTATAAGGGAAATTCGCTAAAATGATCTAATCATAAACAATAACTCGTCCCCTAGTTATATAACCAATAACCAAACAGTACAGCACAAATCATGAAATTAACCCTAAAATAATAGAAACAAAATTTTGTGGACACTAGTGATCAGTGTCACCGGACATGAACTAGACTCAAAAAACAAGCTTCAAAATTTACATTGGGATGAGAAGGCTACTTATGTTGGTTAGTCTAGCTTATACTCTTACCCCACCTCTCTAAAATGATCCTAAAATGAAATAGGCTGTTCAGAAAGCTAAGAACATTTTGGAATAAAATCTGTTTTTTTTAAAGAGTGACTAAAATACTACTTTTTACATAGGTACTCACCGAAGAAATTGAGGTATTTTTCATAGCGGTTGACGGAGCTTTGAAAGTCCTTTATCGTGGAATTCTGTCTCAGCCACTTGGTGACATGAAATCGGAGCCACCTTTTGTCATTAAAGCAATAGGAGCTAACAAAGTCTTTATTTTATGGATTAAAATCAAAATTCTATTGGCAAGATCTGGACTGTAGGGTAGTTAAAGGAAATTCTCCCATTTAAATGAATGAAGGAGATCTTGTGTGAGTTCAGGCACTGTCATTCAAAATAAACATTAAAAAAGATTCTTTACTTTATACAACAGCCCTTGTAGATAGTGTACTTGGCTTTGCTCAATACACATTCTGGAACTTTTCTAAAGTTTTATGATGTTGGTTAGTGTCTTTTTATTTATTAATTAATATTATGTTTATTTGCCACTTAATTTGATGCTTATCATCACATTTTAGGTGGTTATCCAGAAATATAAGTGTAAGGAGTTGTTAAAAAGGAGAAGACATCCAAAACAACTTCAACAACATGTCAAGGGAAACTAGAGTGTTGAGTCCCACAGAAGTCAAGTTTATAAGTAAGTAGTGTGTTAAATTGTTTATATAATCACAAATTTGTCATTTAGCGATTTCCCTCCTCAAGATAGAAGCTATTGCTATACTGGAGTAGTCATGGTTAGTATTAGGTGTGAGGTTAATTTAACAATTTATTTTAATGTTCTTTATTAGTAGGATGTGTGCCTTAGCTTTATTAAAAAAATATAAATGACAAAAAAATGTAATTTGTAAGAAACAATAAACCATAAAAAACAATATCAAGCTTGTATCAAATTTATTTTATCATAAATAATTATTATCAAACAGATCACTAATGCTTACAGTCTTACCACCTGTTTCTCAAACAACACCTTACAGCCATGGGTTCCTAGAACTGTCTCTTGGTGATATCAGCACTGTTACAGCCATGTTTCCTAAAACTGTCCCTTGGTGATTTCAGCACTGTTACAGCTATGAGTTCCTAGAACTGTCCCTTGGTGATCTCATCACTGTTACAGCTATGTGTTCCTAGAACTGTCCCTTGGTGATCTCAGCACTGGTACAGCCTTGTGTTCCTAGAACTGTCCCTTGGTGATCTCAGCACTGGTACAGCCATGTTTCCTAGAACTGTCCCTTGGTGATCTCAGCACTGGTACAGCCATGTTTCCTAGAACAGCCCCTTGGTGATTTCAGCACTGGTACAGCCATGTTTCCTAGAACTGTCTCTTTGGTGATATCAGCACTGGTACAGCCATGTTTCCTAGAACCGTCCCTTGGTGATCTCAGCACTGGTACAGCCATGTTTCCTAGAACCGTCCCTTGGTGATCTCAGCACTGGTACAGCCATGTTTCCTAGAACTGTCTCTTTGGTGATATCAGCACTGGTACAGCCATGTTTCCTAGAACTGTCTCTTTGGTGATATCAGCACTGGTACAGCCATGTGTTCCTAGAACTGTCCCTTGGTCATCTCATCACTGGTACAGCCATGTTTCCTAGAACTGTCCCTTGGTCATCTCAGCACTGGTACAGCCATGTTTCCTAGAACTGTCCCTTAGTGATCTCAGCACTGGTACAGCCATGTTTCCTAGAACTGTTCCTTGGTGATATCAGCACTGGTACAGCCATGTTTCCTAGAACTGCCCCTTGGTGATTTCAGCACTGGTACAGCCATGTTTCCTAGAACTGTCCCTTGGTGATTTCAGCACTGTTACAGCTACATGTTCCTAGAATTGTCCCTTGGTGATCTCAGCACGGTTACAGCCATGAGTTCCTAGAACTGTCCCTTGGTGATCTCAGCACTGGTACAGCCTTGTGTTCCTAGAACTGTCTCTTGGTGATATCAGCACTGGTACAGCCATGTTTCCTAGAACCGTCCCTTGGTGATCTCAGGGTTACCCTATCTGTTTCGAGCAAAATAATATGATATGGTCCTAATATTTAAATGAAAATAATTCAGATCTGTATACCATTTCCATTGCCTTGCTTACATAAACTCTTAAAACTATATGAGCTTGAATCAAATAAGGAGAAAAGTGATTATATATTTTTTTATTACATTGAGTTTTTTTAACCTATTCTCTCAAAGGAAAAAAACCAAAAACAAATGCTTATTTACTTAATGCATTTTGTACTTTATAATGCATAATTTACAGGAAGTGATGCAGACTTTGAAGAAGAAGAGTATGAAGAGGTACAATCTGAAGATGGAGAGGAAGAAAATGAAGAAATGATCTGTAGTGACTCAGAATTAGATGAGGAAGAAATACATAATTTAACCCTTGAGCTTGACCAAAGGGTAAATATAGTTGAAGCCAGAAAGAGTGATGATGAAATAGAGCATGAAGATGATGAGGAGGTGGAAGAAATTTTAGTACAAGAGAATAACAAAAAAGGCAAAAATAATTCTTCTAAGCAAGGTATAAAACCTTCAACCAAACAAAATAAAACAAAAAAAATACTTAATAGTGATGCTACTGATGAAGAAGAATTAAAACCTAAAGGTAGAAACAGAAAGGCTGCAGCAATTAAAGAAGATGATGCCAATGATAAGTTACCCCTTTCAATTGCAAATGATAAGAATGAAGATACAAAACCAAAAAGAGGAAGGAATAATAAAAATCAGCCAGCAGAAGGAAAGGGGGTAAAAAATGATCCTTCAAATGATAAGGGAGAAGCTAAAGTTGCAGTTAAAGAAGATCCACCAAAGAAGACCAAAGGTAAAAAACCAGAGCCAAATAAATCAGAAAAAGATGAAGCTTTAACTATTTTACCAAAAGATGCTAAGGACAATGGTAATCATAGTTCCAAATCAAAGAAAAACAAGAAACAGAAAGGAGAAAATTCGAATACTGAAGAAGATAGTAGTGAAAGCAAAAATATTGAGGGACACAAACCTAATAAAGTAGAAAATTCTGGAAAAGAAAATAAAGAAAATGCAAAACCTGAAAAAGCAAAGTCCAAAACAATCTCTAGTTTAGAAACGGAACAAAAAGAAGCTCAAGAAACTGGAAAGACAGTTAGTAAATCTGGGAAAGGAAAATTAAAGAACACAGCCAATGACTTAAAAGAAAACCAGAATCCAAAAAAACACCAGAAAGAAATTGATGACCTCATTGAACCTGAACTTTCAACTGCAAATCAGCGACCTAAACGAAATATCACAAAGAAGACGGATTATACTGAAGAGAAAGTGGAAACCAAGCCGAAAAAAGTGGCTAAGGCCAAGAAGCCACTTGAAGACAACATGGTTGAAAGCTCTAATAAAGGCAAGGAAAAGAAAAAAACTGAACCCGAAGTTGTAAAAACTCGTAGGGGAAAGGGAAAACAATAAATTAGTTGAGTATGAAGTAATCAGAGAAAAAAACTATATTAATATGTGGGTTTTAATCCATGCTTACAGATACTTTTTTAAAACTAAAAGATAATATGGTGTTTCTTTTATTTTCATATAATAAATTAGTCAAATCAAGCTTTAAAATATATAATGTATCGGAAAACTGTTCTATAGTGCTGAGATAGGAATAGAAAAGTCACATTTTCATGTGTTAAAACTTATGTATTCAATGCATGTTGTTACCTTTTAAAATTAAATTTTTAATACAATTTTAGAATAATCATTATATCCCACACCTTTTTGTTTGCTCATACTGTTTTTAACAAACAACATTTTGAATAATGAGTGTGGTTGTTTCTATAAGATAGTATTTTAAAATGAATCTCAGTTATTCATGGCTTTACGAAGCACAGTAACACCTATACCCAAAGCCAATTTACTCTTTGTTTTAATGGCCAGAAACCAAAACAAAACCATCTTGGTTTAATTTCAATGATATTTTATATAAAATAATTCAAAGTTTTTAACTCAAATATTTTGAATATACCTTGCAAGCAAAATCTTAAAAAGTAATTACTATTTCCCTCAGATAAAAAGGTAAGAATAAGGACAAGGTATTTTAACCTTTAGTTTTCATATTCATTTTAGAATCAAGGTTACTCATGTTAATGCCAATCTTCTGAATTTTTCGTGGCTCATGTTTTTGGGTAAACAGCTACAACTAGGGAAAGTACCTAGTAACTAGTAACTATAGTGAAAAACCCCTAGTAATTGGTAACTAGGGTATACAAATTGGTATTATTAAGGTATACAATTATTAGTAAACTAAATTTTTTCATTGGAAGTAAAAATCAGTGTACCAAGTATGAAAAACAAATCTGTATGACAAAAAAAATCTTACTTTAATGCAAGGACAAATCCTATAATTGCCGGTTCAGGGTTATTCTCAGAAGATAATTCAAATGCTCATCGCCATAGACTACTGATTTGGCAGTGCTCTAAGGGCACTGAAGTACTTATTGTTAAGGTATTTCTCACAAAAGCAAGCCAGTAGTAACAGCCATACAAAGATAAGATTGTGTAGTGTAGTGATCAATGTCTGACTTATTAGCCCAAAATGACATCACCATGTTACCTTGTTAAGCAGGAGTTTGCAAGAATGTTGTGTTTTATGGGATGGATATTGAAGGTAAGTCTTTCTATCCAACTAAAGTATTCCTAAATGTTAATTGGCATTGTCAAAAAAAGTTTAAGGAAATTTTGTTTTTCTTTTGAGGTTCTATAGCCTAGAGAACTATCACTCATAATAAGATTTTTGATAACTCGTCAAATAAGTTAATGATAATGAATGATGTTTATCAGCACATAACATACAAAATGTTATGTAAATGTACAAGTGCTTCATCACTCGCCTTAAAATATTTTAAACTTATCAGTACAGTTCACCTTTGTACTGTACCGGCTCACCCCTTGCTTTGTTGGATACGTTCCACGCACCGTGTCGTAACACTTCGGCCCAAGTAACACTTCGGCCCAGTAACATTTCGGCCCGAAACCCTCAGATGTGGCCTACGGTCCAACTCTCTACCTGCCCACTAGTAACACTTCGTCCCAACAAAATATTTGACAGGTTAGGTAAGATTCCACCGATTCTCCGTCATGTGAGGTCAGAGGATGCAAGGGGTGACGGTTGGGCAACATTCCACCAGAGGGTGGTTGCAAAGTATACAGGTCATGTACCTCTTACTACCTGAACTGCGTTCCTCAACCCTTGTCAATTTTTCGTCGGGCCGAAATGTTACTCCATTAGCTTATTTAATCATCTGTAAAAGCGAGTGGGACGAAGTGATACTGTTTTTCTAAGAAATTTGAGTTTGGCCGAAATGTTACTGGGCCGAAGTGTTACTACATCCCACGCACAGATCTGTAGTCTATGTGGACGGGCAAATGCAAGGTTAAAAGAGGCCGCCAACCTCTTTAAAAAAAGTAGGTACCTACTTTGTGATGAAAACATTGTTTAGACATTTTATTAACATATTCCATAGCCTAACGGAAAAGTTGAACATAAATAATGTATATGTATAAAACCAAATAACAGTACTAATAACATTTAATAATAAATACATCTATACAAAATAATAAAAATACTTAATAACACACAGATTTGTACTAAACAATAAGTCAATAACAAAGTCTTCATAAAAATTTCATTATAATAAGAAAATATAAATAAACGTTTAATGTAACATTCTCAAATCAAAGAGGTAAAAATAGAAAGCAACTCTTTATCTATCAAATGTTATGGTGAGTTCCAATGTAACTAAAAGTCAGTTTGTATGTGTTACACTTTTCCTATAGGTAGTAGAGGTTTTGTTTCTTTTTTATATTTAAAAATTTTAATATTCTAACTTTACAAAATAATTTAGGTCATAAAATAGCCGAAGAACTGTATTTTGTGGGTAAGTAACATTATTGTTGAAAACATGTTGAATCATCTGCTAAGGGAATTATTGCTTTCCATTTTTTTGATAAATGTGTGTTGATAACACTGATTGTTTAGAGGTTTTTAATTGTAAGATTTTAGATGTAATAAAGGTAAACCACAAATTATAATTTTAGTGATTGATTTATCTAGTTTATTGATAACATAACAATTAATAATTTTAAAAAATAAGGTAAAAAGGGCCAGAGCAAGAACAAATTATGCATTTAAACTCAACTATTGCTATTTAATTAAAAAGAATCATAGCATATGTTGATATGTTTATAAACAAGTCAATACATAACCTAAAATAATACAGTACAAAGGAAATACCATTTATGTGAAAACCATTGACAAAGAATACACAGATGGTATTCTTTAGGTGGATAGGTATTTTTCAGAAGGGGTTTAGACATTACAGCTTATCAAAAAGGTACAGAATTTTACTGATTTTCGTTACCTAAGGTATTATAATGAGAAATCAAACAAATACTAAAAACCAGCAGTTTTTTTAACTTAGTAGCAAACTATAAAGTCAATGTTTATCCAAAGCTAAGCATAGGCTATTAGAAACACGTTTTATAAGCCTGAAAATAGTGACTTCTTTTGATGTATGATTAATGTTTAAATCGTTTGAGTGCGCTAAATGATTGCATTAACATACCAAATATTATTGATTGTATAAAGATGGGAATTAAAACAAACACTAATCAGCTGTTTCATCTAACTAGTAATTGTCAAATGAATATTTATCAAAACAGGATATTATAAATAGACTGTTTTGTTATTGACTTTTTTTACCTACGACCGTTTTTAAGGTATCCATTTCAGTTCAGTTTTTAGAATTGAAAAGTTTCACTTAACAGCTGTTTACATTCATAACTGCATAGTTTCATTTCATAACAGCATAGTTTTTCTCATTACAATACGGGTAACGGACCAATTAGGTTCAAGGATTGAGAGAAAAGAAATAAAATTGTAATGCTTCGAATGTCAACTAATCAGCTGATCAGTTGAAAATTGTAATTGTTGATCGGACTTGTTCCTGTTGATACTCGCGTATTCTTAACCTAAGTTGGTGGAAGTTAAGGGAATGTAGATTAAACTGATTTAAAAATGTCAGTTAGTGAAAGTGAAGTTGACGAGATGGAAATGAGAGCACAAACCGTTTGTGCTAATCTTTTGCCACCAAAGTCGAAACAAAGGTATGGAATTACATACTAGCAATTCATTAAATGGATGAAAAAAAAATGGTTAAATTGATTAATGAAAATGTGCTTCTGGTTTATTTTGAAAACCTCTTAACCACTTTTTCACCCAACTCGTTGTGGACCACATATTCGATGCTGAAATCTAACTGTAAATTAACTGTATCACTATATTATTCAGTTGTAATAAGTTTTACAAACACGTAATTACATGAAATCAGCTGATTATACAATAATTCGTTGCATAACTTTCAGTGGCAATGACAATAAACGAAAACATAACCTCTCTAAGAAGTTATGAGTAGTGATTGTTAGTAATTAAAAACCAGATTGTTGGTAATTAAAAAACTGTCGTAGGTAAAGTAGTGTACGCAACTCGCGTTAATAGTCTTTACGACACTCGTAGAAGTTTTTAAGGCACTCGCCAAGGTTCGTGCCTTAAATTTTCTACTCGTGTCGTAAAGACTAACTTAACGCAATCGTTGCGTAAACTACTATAAACGTACAAAAGTATACTCCTCATTCTATTGTAAAATTGAACGCATTAAACGGTAGTTTATGGGGGAATAGCATGGAACTACAACAATAGTTTTATTGGGGAATAGGCGTCTAGAGAAGCTTGTAGTTGAGAGATAAATAGATGCCAGTAGGGCCTATAATTATGGATTTTCGTTTTAAAACAAACACCTGAACTTATCTTAGGCTAATCTTTGGACTTCTGCAGGCCTATGAAAAGGTAGCAGCACTGTATCATACAAATTTACCGACACTGAAAATTACCTAGAAGATTTCCCAATTTGTGTAATAGTGCAGTGTGAAAACGTTGGACCCACATTGTACAATGGACTATCACCTTTTCCCTTAGTAACAGATTCCTTTGAAATTAATTTAGTACCCATAAAGGCAATTTTCATTAAATCTTGCCCATGCGATTTCGGTACATCGTAACCAAGGATGTACTTTAGATCATGCTATGGTGGCCCTGAAAAATCAGAATTTTCCCTCGACGTAGGGTTGTCGGAAGTAAGAACCATCGAGGGCTTGCTGATTGTGCCATTTTCGATATGGAGAATTACAAGCATGATTAATAACAGTAACAGTCTGTAAAGAAAATGGTGATGTAAAGACTCAAGAGGATTGCTGGTTTAACGACAGGTTTAAAATGAATTATACTTTGAGTTGAGTCGTGTCCGTTGACGTGTGTGCTATGGCCAGCCGCCATCGCGCACTATTCTTTGTTTCCGTGTTCTTCTATGTCTTAAATGTTAAATTTGTGTATGACAACGGCATTGTGTTCAGAAAATTTTATGTGAGACGACAAGGGCTTGAAAATGAAACAACTGTTACGAAACTAGTCGCCCAAGATTACGACGACGAAAGGTACGCAAACCTATTTATTTTGTCATAAATCAATCCTGGAGGCAATTCTGAGTAAAATAATTGCAATAAAAAGAAGATAATTTGTTTACCTTTGTTCACTCCGCTCAACTGGTGGACATGAGCCTGTAATTATGCCTGTATAATATATACTAGGCCTAGTATATTAATGGAGCTTACAGTGTGAATTCAACTAACTCATAAATACACAGGGTATGTCAAATATTTTATATGAATGAATGAATGAATGAAAGAAGTGCTTTATTGAACAAAAGATTTTCCTTACAAACCTAGGCTCCTCGCAGGAAGCCACAATGACACTAAAACCGTAATGGTTCATAGAACCGTCTACGTGGTTGGCATACACTTTTTTTTACACTTTTAATTTTAAATTTATTTTTAATTTTTAAAATTAAAATTAAAAATTAAAATATTTTATATATGTGGCAACACAAATTTTTTAGATAAAATTGGAAAAATAAATTATTAAAAGCTTGATTGGGGATTTAACAAGACAATGTACAATAATTTTCCATATGGAAAATTCGCTAATATAAGATCATGCAGGAAACATTTTGGAAAAATGTGTGACCTTTGTTGCTGGGCAAGCTATGTTACAGATGTTCAACGGCTGCAAAATGCATTAGTGATGACGACTAGTGGAGGCGGTAGATGACATGGCCTGGCTGACAAGGATAGCATATCTGACAATGGATACTTTCCTAATTCCTTATAAGAGCTAATCGTAAATAAAACAATGCCTTCGCTTTTATACTTTGGATGAGTATCGTAGTCATTGGTATTGGTTATTTGTACTCCTGACGTATTTTATCATTCGATTTGTAGTTTAACCAATAGTTTTTCACGTTTCTAGTAAATGGTTAATTAATTATTTTACAACGTGTAGACAGTATATTCATCTTGCAGATACAAATCTTTGTACTAATAAATCGCACTCCATAACCTTCAAAAAGCGCCCCACTTTCAAAATTTGGTCAAATTACTTCAAATTTTTAATGGTTATTGCTATTTTTCCATACCTAAATTATTCCTTTTTGCAAATATTATTATTGCTTTGTATTATTATAGTTTACTTAATATTTTACACATTACGTGTTTTTTCATAACTTTACTCCTTGACCCCCAAAACTTAGGTTTAATCTCAAAATTTGAAAGGATTTTACCACTATTACGAGCCCCATGTTATTCTTATGGAGAATAACATTGAAATTTTAAGACTTTGGTATGCTCATTTGATTCGTTTAGAGACCTAGCACAGAGACTTGAAATTTTGTAGTATTGTAGTATGGGATCTTTAATTAACGGTGAATTATGCAAAAGACCGATTTTCAAATTTTCGATCCCCCCCCCAACAATCCAAAATGGCGGACATCTAAAAACGACAAAACACGTTTTTTCCAAACAACTATAGCTCGAAAACGATAAAAGCTAGAAAAGATTTTAAAGAATTTTCATGGTCAGGAATTAAATTTCCTACAAAACACTCAAGCGTTTTTCGGAAATCGAGCACCTTCAACTTTAAAAAATGCCCTACTTTTAATATTTGGTAAATTTCTATCACATTTTTTACGATTTTTGCTACTTTTCCCAATCTAAGTAAATTCTTTATGCAAATATTATTAATATTTTGTATTTACTCTGGTTTACTTAAGGTTTTATCCCCCTATCGTATTTACAACCCCCCCCCAAATATTAAATCCTCCCCCCCCTCCAATGTTCTGGATATCTGAAATTCGGCATGATTGTAGATCTTGCGCCCTTTTCGAAAAGTGACATTTTACAAATATAACTCCCCCCCACGAAATATAGTATCCCCCCCAATGTTATTCCTACAGGTGCATCGGTCTAAATCAATTTTACCCGCTTCTAGATTAGCTAAAGATCTGAAATTTGGCTTAATTTCAATTAATTTATTAATTTAATTAATTTTTTACTTAATTTTTTTTGGCTGGATTTGAATTGGTCTTGCGCCATGGCCCATTTTTATTTAACCTCTACAAAAAAAAGGGGCCTGGGGCGAGATTACAAAGTGGACACTTAGTTCCCATCGACCAAGGTTTACCATTAAATTGGAGCAACTCTGCTCTTGCCTTAATCAAAGAAATCAAGCGGACATCGGCGTTATCAGTAAGGTAGCTTCTATCACCAAGTTCAAGGCCAAGGTCGAGGCTGATCAGCTGACTGTGGTGTATGGACGTGCTCAAAGATACACTCGCCTATCCGTATGTCACTCTGTACCACCGTTAAACATATCGATTTATCGATATTGGCAACTGGTTTTCATTCGATGTTAAAGCAACTGTTAAACTCAAAATATATTGGTAAAATATCAGAAGGATAACGAAGAAAAACATTTAAATGATTTTTTTATTCCCCTCATAAATTGTATTTATAACTTTCAAAACAAAATGTCAATCAAGTAATACATTTTTATTCTATTTTAAATGTTATCCAAACAAATAAAGTTAAAATTCTACGTGGAAAATAATGGCTTTATGTAAAGTTGTTTCCTCCATTTTCCCCCTCGGAAACCAAAACGAGTCCATATTTTTAATTTCTGCCTGTTTATTTGTGTGTTGAGTAAATACCTTAATTAGTTCGGATTTAACGAGAAACTAGAGCACACTTATTGTTGTTTTTCAGTTTTCTCAACTAATATCAAACGTTTTTAGGCTACCTAAAACTGGGCTTTCTTCCTTGAAAATGCAATTAAGCACTTTTGAATACTTACTGCCATACGATTCTGAACATTATTTTTGCAATTTACGGAAAACAGATTAATTTATGATAGAAAAAAAGATTTCCGTGTTGAATCACAAATTATAAATACAGAAAACTATTGGCTCTCGTAATATTAAAAAAATAAATAAACAGCTGTTTCGAAATAACCAGTAACTGTAGTAATGATCAGTTGTGTTAACGTCGATTAAGCATTAGCAAACAATTTTAAAAATACACATTTTAAAATTTCAACCCCCCCCCCAAATTAAAAATGGTGGACACCTGAAAACGACAAAACACGTTTTTTTTAACGGCTATAACTCGAAAACGGTAAGAGATAGAAAAGATTTGAAAGAATTTTCATGGTCAGGAATAAAATTTTCTACAACACTCTCTTCGGTGTTTTCAAAAAATCTGTACTGAGAGGGAGTATTCTCAGTAAATTGTACCTGAGAGGGAGGAAGCTGACTATATAAATTGTGTATATATAGTAGTGTTTTAGTAAATAGTGTTGTGTTTGGTTGGGTTAGGTTAGGTTAAGTTAGGTTAGGTTAGGTTGGGTTAGATTGGGTTAGGTTAGGTTAGGTAAACAGACTATATCTTTTAGTAATGTAAATATCTTTGAATAATATATATTTTATTAATGTATCTTTAACAGTGTATCTTTTAATATTGTAAATAATTTAATGTAATTCAACTGTGTTATTGGTTCTTTATCCTTTGAAGACCCGTTGTGAAAGTTCTAGAAAGAGACCGGGCTCTTTTCGCACCGTCCTGGTTGGGACCTTGGACTTTCGGGCGCTTTTCAAGCGTCTGCCTGAGTTTTTGGGCTCTTTTCATGTGCGCCCTTCGGGCCCTAGTAAGTGAGTGTGCCATGGGTGCAAAGGTCAAGCTCTGCACAGCCACAGACATATATCGTCTGTTGCACCCAGGCCTTTCTCGGTCGTACTTGTTGATTCGGCGAAGTTTCGGCAGCAATAGCAAACCGCAACCCCTCTTAAGGGAAATTCCTGAGATACATATGTGTGCGAAAATTATCTTTCCCGAAAGGAGAAGGTGTAGTTGAGGCGGGTGGAGGTAGCTGAGAACAACGGAACTCCCATAAGGAAGGGAATTTACCAGCAGCGTGTGGAGACCAGGTAAGAACAGAGAAGCACACTCGAAAATAAAATCGATTGACATTTCGTTTATTAGTTACTGATTTATGTTTACGATTTTATAGTTTTAAAATTCTCAGCTTATTGATTATTTTCTATTGTGGTGGAAAAAATTCTGGATAGCCAAGTAGATATGCCTATAGCTCACATTTAAATCTGAATTTACTGGTTCGAGTCGAGATTCAGTAGCCATTTATCATTGGACTGAGATATCTAGAGGTCAACATTAGATCACCGGTTGGTCAACTAGAGCAGGTTTAGAGCTGTTACCTTAAATAACTGTTGATTAGCATTTTATGTATTCACACTATTGTGCGAATAAATAATAAAAATACATCTTCCAACGCTATTCTATGTACCTTCTCTATTTTACTTTGCTTCACTACCTTTTCCAAAACGTATTTTAATCATACAATTCGACTAAAAATGTAAATTTTAATTGCAGTCAGACTCAAACATAAAAAGTTGTCTTGAACATTATACTCGAACAAGCTTGCAAATCCTCAATTTAGATTCTTTATGAGATTATACACACGAAGGACCTGCTATATCTAAGATGTTTACGTTAAACTGTTGCACAATTCTAATTGTCTAATCTCATAGATGTAGTTTCATGGGGTTGACGAACTCTGTTTAGCAGGATTCCTAGTGATATCATAATTGATTATCCACTTGGTACATTATCACTCAGTTCCCCTCCCATCTTCTTCTCTTGTCTTCTCTCCCTTCCTTCGTAGACTAGTTCTCACTACGCAGCCGGCTGCCATGGCAGTCAGGACGGCGCTGCTCCTTTTTGTATTTTTACTTTTAGGTATTCACAACATAAATAAATTTACTAACCTCTAATAGCATGGACTGAAACGTATTCTTTGCTACCTAACATATTAAAGCATGCTAAAAGATCCGGCAAGTCATAGAATTATTTTTGCAGTTTGTTTATGTTTATTTCGATAACATTTGGAAAGTACAATTAGTATTGAAGGAATGTATCTTTTTGGATCGTTTGGATTATTATTGCTTTACGTATGCATAAACACGTTACGATTTACCATTAAAATACAATATTTTAGGTTTTAACTACTTATCCACAACTTACTGAAGTTAATCGAGATCATGATTTACGTGTAATAATTTTCAAAGCCTCAGAACATCACAAATGTTAGCTTTTAACCTCCTAGCTTTTATTATATAGTTTCAAACTATAAAAAGAAGGTATAACTAAATATAACATAAAGCTCTAAAGTACTTTAGTTATTTACGTTAGTTACTCTTACGCAAAAATACAATGTAACAATGTAAAAATGCGGGGTATGCTATTTTTCGTCGTAGCTTTTCGTTCGTTTCTAAATACTTGCGGGTTTTTATTTACAATCAAAACTTATCATTAGATATAATTACTGATAAAATGTAGTTTAAAAGTTTAATTGTTTAGCTTCAGAACAGAACTTTGGCATACACTGTACGCGTTTTAACCTAGCGAAGCGGGAATGTACCAGAGAGTTGTATAAAATTGAGATATATTCGTCATGAATTGATAAAAAAAAACTGCAAAACTATATTTATTGAATGCAGGATTTTTATACATATATTTTTGTAACTGTTCAAATCGATAAAACTTACTTTCAAGGGAAATTATCACGTCAAACTGATCACTAATTTTTCATAACCGATTAGTGAGAGATCATGCAATCTTGCTGAATTTCTGTAGAATTGAATGAAAGTTAAAACCATCTTTATATTTAAATGGTCTGCAGTAAGACTTTTACTATGTGGGGCCGTATACTCCAACTTCAATTTAATTTACATAGTTCACAGATCTAACTACCCAAATAATTTTCATGTCAAGACGCTACGTCATAACCACACGTGATAGTTATCTAATTGGTGCCTCCCATATTTCTTTAACGGAGTTAAAATGATAACATAATCTACCTAATTTTGTGAACTATCAGATCGTGTTTAGTAATTGAAGTGTATTTCTGAATTGAATGAACCCAGTGAGTTGTTATGAACACTATTTAATTTGTTTCTTACAATGTGTGCGGTCCGTGCACCATCTATTTTACTGGATAAAACTATTTGGAAGCTTAAACAAATAAATAAACAATAAATGAACATTAGTGAAAAGGGCCAATAGTATGTAAGAAACATAACTGTATTCCCTGTCACTTTGGACTTAGCATACATGTTTACTCAATTTTTGTTTTTATAATTTCATTCTTGTAAACTTATAGTTTTTGTTTTAATAAACCTAATCTTCCGACCGAATTAAAACTCAGTTTATCCTAATACATTGCATAAGAGAATATAGTGAAGGAAATATTCTTACACTATTATGTTGCAGATATGTTTAGCGTGAATATGAATATCGATCGAATATACGAATTCTAAAGAAAATCTCTGTAATTTAGTTGATCAATTAGGTTCTCGTTTTATCTCAGATATATCGAATACTCGTATTCACATACTCTCGGATAGAATCGATACTTTTATTTGGGGATTCATGATTGTCTATAAAAATAGTGTTTGTGAATTTAGTTAGTGTATTATTATGTTAACTAATTGTATTAATTATGTTTTAAAAAGGTAGTGGATTGTTTATTTGAAACTCCTAGACAAAAATATCTAAACCTGATTATCTTAAATATTGTTATCTCTAAACCAAGAGATAAAATCTATGTTGGAATTCTAGTCTTAATATATCCATAATGATATATCTTGGATAGAAAAGTACTCAAGCCTCAAACCCTTGGATATTTACAACAGTGTATAGTTTTGTAAATCCTTCGATTCTTTCAAACACATTTGCCATTAATCTAACAACAGATATTTCGTAACTAGCCTATATGTTTTAGCCTCTGGCGTCACAACCATAAGTGAAATAATATAATTTTTTATTACATTATGTTGTTATATTATATTATTATAACAACAATTAATATAATTATAATACTTCATCTATGTCACAACTATTTCATAACAACCCATTTAGTCCTATTCAAAATTAATTTCCTGATTTGTCATAACCAAATTTTAGAGACGAAACAGTAAATATAAATGCAATTAAATTACAACACCATAATTATAATAAATATTATTTGGTTTATTATTAACTGGATTATTAATAGGCTTACCTTCTAAAGTTTACAAGAAGTTGCTTTCCTATAGTTATTTTAAAATATAACAAAATTGTTTCAATACGTACATTTGATAGTACATTTCAGTATTCCAGTATTTTATGTGTGAAATTTAATTCATCCCAAATACTAAATATTTTTAACACATTCATTCGACCGTTTGAACAATACAAAGTGGTAAAAAAGTAGTCATAAGTTACTGGCTGGAAATGTTAAATATGATGCTAATGTTCTAGTATTTTTTAGACCTATTTCATTTTCAAATGTTTGCGTCTATACTTTTGCACCCCTCTGTGAATTTTCCCCATTAACAAAATCTAAATTTATAAACATATTTGTAACGATTATCCTCCTAATAAAAGCTTACAATAATCCTGTAGTAAAATGAAATAAACGAATACTTCGAGAACTGAAAGACTTAGATGTTCTATCCTTAATTCGATTTTGATGCTTACATTTAAATGTTGATTAAAGTGAGCATAGTAAAATATATAGTTAAGGTGCTTACTCAACGAAACTTGCCTATTGTTTGAAGTGTATATTAAGCAGTGGTACACTCAGACATGGGCAAAAAGGTACTCGTGCAAAATAGAAAGGTAACATTGAAAATCTAAATAAGCAAGTAGTTTGATTTTACAGAATGACCTATTACAGACGATAAGGAATTGGAAAGAATAGTACGTTCTAAGACATGTTGAATAAGATACTATGTAAAAGATTGTGAATTATTGTACCCGTTGTAAAACATAGTTTAAAATTAAGTATAAACGTTACAGCCGTTTAGTTAGAATGCAAAATAAACATGAAAAAATTCAAACATGTAAAAATTACACGCATTAATTCATCCTTTTGTTTCCTAGAGTGTCTGAAAAAGAATGGAATATTTACAAAACTAAAGGCTTGAGAACAAATTAAAATACCTAATACTGTTGATAGTTTTTTTTTTAGAAGTGTGTTATAATTCCTTACAAATATACACGTTAACCTTTTTCAAAGGGTTACGATTTATTTTTTGCTTTGAAAACGTTTGAATCGTAAATGAAAATGTGCACATTTTTCATCACGTTTCATTAACCTTCTGTATTTACAAGAGGAGTTATTATTGTGATTCATTGTTGATTTCAGGAGCTGGTGCGGCAGGCCGAGTGCGTCAGAGGACTAAGATACGGAGGGTGCAAGCCCAGGACCCAGCTCAGGGGGAAGGAGGCACCCCTCCAAACTACGAAGACTATGACTACACGCAGGAGTACTACGATGAATACGACGAGAAGAAAAACGGTAAGCACTTGTTCTATAATTTTATCATGATTTTTTTCGTTATCCGAGGTTCCTTCACTCCATAGGACGCTAGGATTTAGTCTTGTACTGTTTTACATATTACTTTAGGTTAGGCCTTGAGGGCCAAGACAGTATCACATTAGTGGTTGGAGGGATTCGAACCCGGGACATTGGAAATCAAATCAAATTAAATCTCTTTATTGTCTTACAGCTCTACAAAAGCAATTGACATTGTAAAATGACATCTTATCGTTTAAACATTAAACATAAACATGGAATAAATAACAGGAACATAGATCTTATTATTTAAAAACTTATATCTAAAACCTTAAAGGACAAGAACTTATCTACAGAGTAAAAACATTTTAATTTTAACCATGAATCAAGGATTGTTTTGAAATTGTCATGAGAGACTGAATCAAAAGCTTTAGCCAAATCAATTAATGTTGCAGACATATTAATTTTAGCATCACAACCGTTAAAAGTATCTGTGATTTATTTGTTTTTGTACCGGTATTTCCTATTTAACCTATACAGGGTGTTCAAAAAAGGTGGGACATAATTTACGTAGTGATTCCTTGGGTCTAAATAAAATTAATTTTAAACTGTCAATAAAATAATCAAAACATTCATTTATCATTAAACGGATACAATTCATATGACTAGTCAATTATACTTAAATCATTTTGAAATGAATTAATACCTTTGGCACTTAATATACGAAATTTAACCTCTTTCTTACTCTTATTGAAAAAAATTACTCATCTTTAACCATAATCCATCATGATCATTTATTTGGTATTGTAACTGATATTTTAAGACATTCTGGAAAAGTTTCTTGTTTAATCATCATATTATATAGAATGGTAAGCGGATTTATCAAAAGAGTCTTAGGCCTTTTAATCCTTTTTGATTACATAATTGGAAAGGTCATAATAGTCTTCAGCCTTAGAACTACTTAGTAGACCTAAATTAATACAATCAAAAGTAAAGTCTGTGTTTGTTAAGTTACTAATTACAATATATTGTCTAGACATGCTTCATAATCTAGTCGATTTTGAGTTGTGACAACAACAATTAAATGACTTAAACATATTTAAAAACTCATTTACATATTTTTCATTTCTCTAATGTCAACATTTATGTCTCCTGTAATAGTTATTCTACAGTTAACAAACAAAGTCAATAAACAAAGTGCTATACCACTAGATCAGCTCCCTCCCAAACGTTGAATACTAAAGTATTAATCCCATCTCTGTGAACAAGAAAAAGCCAGACTATTATAAAATAGAACGTTCCTCCCCTTAATGTAGTGCGATACTATTGAAGCTTTATTTCTTGTACTTTGCCATACTATAATAGTTCATGTGTGCATGGAAGGCACTATAGTGCACAATAAGTTAACCTCTCGCTCTCAATTTAGCAAGATTAAAAAAGTTGGTGTATAAGAATTTGACATAAAAATACTAGTATCACACTCTGTCGGTGGTACAATTTAACAAAGTTAAACATGAAACACAATTTAAGATTTTTGTTTATTCTAAAACTAACTTTACTTTTGAGATGAGGATGACATATTAACTACACAAGTTTATTCATGTCAAACTTGGAATACTAGAGACAATGTATCGTCTACCACCAAAGCAGAGTTGGTTGTTTATTTTCTCTTTTACGTCTAAATCGGATTGTTCTGAAGACAAAGAAAATAGATCTGGTTGAAAACTAGACATGTCTCCCAGTCGTCTGGTAAGAATTTTCTCAATCAATAAGCATTTTACTCCACTCGTGTTTAGTTACTAGATTCGGTTTTAATAAATTTACCAATCATCTGTTATCTAGAATAACATACACTACTGAAATAAGCATGCCATCTCCAAAGACCAGCTGATCAGCAAGTTTCAATTGAAAGAGAACATAAACCTATTATAACGTCCTAACGTAAAACATACAAGATTTATCAGTTAAAGATAAGTTACTATTTTAGTTTTGCATAATTAAATAAACAGTATAAGCATTCTGATACATACTTTCTCCCATGGCTTGTTAACAATGCTTATCATGAGGAAGCGGTGGGTGTAACTATGGTATTTTATAGGAATAATCATTCGTAAGTGCCATTACTGAACCGAAATGTGTACAGCAATGGGAGTTGTACCATTTTTAAAATGACTATAAAATATAGCGTACTAAATTTTAATAAAAATCACTCCACAGTTTAAAAGGTGCTTTACTACGAAACTTTACAACAAAATAAAGTATTACCATGAAGACCTATTAACCTACATAGTTTTAAATTTTATTTTGTAATAAAACATTATTCTAGGAATATTTTGAGGATGACTTTGAAAAAATAAACTATTTAGTTACTTCTGCTTTTCAGTTTTGAATCCTTTTGAGATCAAGATTATGTAATAGTGGAAACAAGCATGACATATTTCTAGATTGAGAATTATGTTTGCATGAACATTTACACAGCTACATTGACAACACACAGAATTTACTAAATTGGATTAGCAAAAAATAGGAAACTAAAAAACTGGTCAAGTTCATATAGCTGTCAATATTACAACATATTGTATGTTTTGTTTGGGCTTTACATTTTCCTCAACTTTCCTACTAGCTGAAATCACAACCACAACGTTTACATAAAGTTATACTTTAAGGCATTGTTGCCGTTTGTAGTTTCCTTAATGAGTAAACAAAAATTGATGAATATAATTAACCATTTCGTAGATTTATATAAATTGTACGCTTATTATTATAACTCATATAAATAAGTAATTTGTATCTTATATGGGACATAAATATTTTTATAAAATAAAGAAATAAAATAAAAATTAAAAGTAGGTTTATTTCCACAAGATTTATTTATAATTTGGAAGTAAACAAGTTTTATAGTGAAAAAGCATAAATTGTATAGCATACAATTAACACGAAACATTCAAATAAAAGAAAAACAGATAGTAATAATACATTAATTAATACAATTTAAATGCTTAAAAAATAGCAAAAAACATCATGTAGGAAATGAGCCTACATGAACTTCATTGGGATGTGGGTAGGCTGTTAAACAACTGCCATTTATTTATTTAAGGAAATTCTAACCCATCGATGTATATTTCTAACCAAACAGAAATTTTTTTTTTTTTTAAGAGATAAATATCAATGAGTGACTAGCTAAGAAGCCAATTTGTAGAGCTATGTTGATTTAGAGTAGAGTATATCAATCGCATTGTATGACCAGAGCAATATCATTCCTTGACAGGTCGCCTGCTATCAGTAGTGATAAGAGCCTCTGCTTCCCCATTGCTGACATGGTTTTAAATATGTTGCAGAATCAAAAAATTGGGGTTCTTAATAATTAAACAAATAGTTGCGGAAAATATATGTGCGATGTGAAATCAAATTTGTTTCGGAAAAAGTTAAACTGTAAACCTTCAAATTCTATTTCCATATCCTGTATTGTGAAAAAGGTTCGCGAAGGAAACGTATAATTTGATGTTTTTAAATATAAACATATGAAGGTATTTAACAAATAGTGTTTGGACGGTATGTCGGTGTCTTGTCTAAGTCTTTATTTATTTATTTTATTTATTTAGTACAACGGGAAACCCATTACATTGAAACATTACCAAGAAATAACAATAAAAATCAAAGCAAGATGTGATACAAATACTACAAATAATCAACAACAACAACAGCAACGTATTAATACAATAGTATAAATTCAACAGCAAAAAATGTGTACTATGAACATGTAACAATATAACATCACCATATACCATTTATCAAACCATTAACAACAAATAAATATTTTCAGAATTACAATAAAAATGTATATAGGTATATATATTTTTTTCTTTGATCATGCAACAATAACAACAAATAAATACAAGGTAACCAAGGTCTTACAAGGTAACCAACGCTAGTTGCTGCGTTGCTAAAGGAAAAAATAACTAAAATAGATAAAATGTGAGTTTTCTACATATTATGACTGACTTGATGATATTCGATTGATATATATTCATTCACTGTCATCAGGTGACCCGAATTACTTTTTTGACGAGGTTTTTATCAAATTACACCTCACAACTACAGGGTGACCCGAAAAAGGTACTCATCTAAACTGCTGCTTATAATTATAAATCAGCTGTTTCATAAATCAGCTGTTTAATAGGAAACGATGCAATGCTGTTATTACCCTCCTATTTCTTGTTTACAAGTAGTTTCTAGCAGTAATGTTGTTATCTTTCTCTTCTGTTTTTACACGTTTCTAGAAGTAGTGAAACGTTCAGTACCTTTTTTGGGCCAAGCTGCAATACGACCCGCGTGTTCGCATGTTGACTTCGGAGGATATCCTAGCTAATTATTTGGGTATGAAGGATATTAAGTTGGACAGGACGCTTCCTCATTAGGCATTCGTCCGATGAATCAGCTGGTAGATCTGGACTAATCCAAACACAAACTACTTGGAGACAATAGTTTAACACTCGATAACTCAATTATTCAGTCGAATTGGCCAAGTAAATTGTACCAGACAATCAATATAGGATTGGTTAACATGCTGAAAATGCTAATTATACATAACCGCAGCAAACCCCCCAAAAAAGACTAAGCCAATCCCCATTTTCCTGATTTATTTTTTATAAAATATTTCCACGTGTCATTTTTACATAGTTGAGTAACATAATTTTTAGGAATATTGAGGTTTGTTGATACAGGGAAGGAAAACACGTTTTATTAGTATAATGTCAAAGGTTTGGTATAAAATAAATAAATTTAGCAAATTTGATAAAACATCCATAAATAAGCTAATTACAACAGCTGACTTATTCGCCTTAAAAGGGGGTTTGATAAGCTGGACATTTTAAATGTACCGTGTTTTGGAATTTCCTCTGTAACCATTAGGAACCAAAATATATAAAATTATTTGTTTTTAAACTCGACAAGATAGCTGCAAGGGAAGTTGAGCATGTAAACGTTTTTAAGGTTACTTTAAA